CCTCCCTCCCTCCCTTGCTCTCCTATCCATGTATTGCCAATTAATTTATATCATTTGTTATATCGCCTCTTCATATATATCACTTTCTGTCGTTTTTATGACTAAGCCTATATAAGGCCTATTAAAGGAAAAGTCCACCCCAAAAATAAGTTTGTTTCGATAGAGGCAGAATAATAAGAAAATCAGGTGAGTGAAAGTTTGAGCAAATTCTGAATGAAAATAAGAAAGTTATGAATTATTGAAGTTGTGATCATTCAAATACAAATTGGCAACTCTGTGACTTATCATACGAGCTCTCCTTCATTTGCTTTGTGCATAATATTCCATAAAATCATGTTTTCTTCGTTATTGATGACGGAATATATATTTGTTCCTTGCAGGGGGAGTATAGAAACATATTTGCAATTATTATATTTAGGGTGCATGTATGGTTGAAATTTTTCTTGAGGGAAAATGAAAATTTTAGATTTTTTTAGTACTGAGCAAATGGAAGTTGAGCTCGCATGATACGTCATAGAGTTGCCAATTTGTGTTTGATTGATCACAACTTCAAAAATCCTAACCTCATTATTTTTAATCAGAATTTGCTCAAACTTTCACTGACTTGTTTCTCTCATTTTTCTACTCCTATTAAAACTAACTTAATTTCAGGGTGGACTTTCCCTTTAATAATATCTCTTCCTTTAGACAATCTCTTTCTCTCACTCTCTAGCTGTCTCTCCCTCCCTTGCTCTCCTATCACCAATTAACTTCTTTCATTCTTTGTTATTATCATCTCTTATATATATATCACTTTCTGTCATTCTACGACTATTACCTCTCCGTTTCACATACTCTCACCCACTCTCCACCACAGTGCACACCACACGATCCAACTGCTTGCCAATTCTTAAAGAAATGGCAATTATACATTAGTCTTATATGATATATATAAGTGATATGATTGCAGTGCCCTAAAGGAGAACAGTATTAAAACTGATGAAGCTGTACCTTGGGTAAAAAAGACATATATCTTTTATGGAAATCTAAACAAATTAATGATGTTTTGCTGATTTAGAATTAGACAATCGTACCGGTCTAAAGTTGCTACCATTCTGAGCCGGTTTAATTTTTTCTCTTTTAACGAAGCTTGAAATCCCCCAAAATTCAGATTTTATGAATCACATGACTGATCCGATCCACAGTCATCAAGATTTGACATGTTTGAATGTTTATATAAAATGCAGTTCTAAACTCTTCTAAAATTAGATCGCAGTCCGAACTCCCAAGACAATGAACATGTATTGGTATGTATTGGTTCAGTGGACCTCTCCATTTCCTCAAAATATAAATGCAGTTGAATTTAAAATTCAATTTATGTCTTCCTCAAATGTATAAATTACTGTTAAGATTTGTTTATTACAAATGTAACTATGTTTTGGATACATTTTACATTGTATTTGTTATTTTGTTGGAAATGAAAACATAAAAATGAAAATGAATGAAATGTAGTGTGTGCTGGGCCTTAATCAGTCTTTCATCAACACTCATCCCCTCTCTGAATTGTTTTCCATCACTGCTCTCGATCACTCGCCCTCTTTTCAAACTTTTTTCCAACAAGCGGCTGAGAGATGAAGGAATCTACTAAATAAGTTTAAGATTCTATAATCTGCTTGTTTATAAGTACCAATTTTTACTTTCTCAGAAAAGACCCCCCCCCCCCCCCAAAAAAAAAATCAAAGAAAACATAGCTACGAAGAATGACTAAAAAACACAGACATTTGATGTTTGGAACACTTTAATGCACCATTGTTTCACATAAGCTGGATCAAAATGTTCTTATGTTTAGTACAGAGAGAAAAGTTATGATACAGAAAGCAAGAAAGGAGAGGGGTGAGAGAAAGCACGAAGGGAGAAGGGAGGGGGAGGGAGAAGGGGGGGGGGGAGATGGAGGAGAGAGACTGAAGACAACAAAGTATTAAATCAAAGTGGGCACCAAGGCAATGGAAAAAAGATGAAAATTTGGATTCTCCTCTTAAAAAAATGATTTTATACATATTATCTTGCAATACACAATTAGAAAGTACATGTTTAAGTCATTATTTTGTTGTTGAATAAAGTTTAAACAAAGTTTTGAATTGAATGCTTACTTTAGTCATTTGCTTGAGTTACAAAAAGCTTCATTGTATACCGATAATAATAATAGTCTACCCCCCGCCCCCCTTACCATTTAATCAGAAATTACATAGAGCACCAAGACAGAGAGAGTGAGAGTGAGAGTTGGAGAGAGTTGGAGAGAGAGAGAGAGAGAAAGAGAGAGAGAGGGAGGGGGAGAGAGGGAGAGAACAGAATTACAGAAAACACTTGAATTCATTACCAAACAACAAAGAATTCATATTATATACAACTCAAATCAAGTCATTACATAATTCTGTATCATCACCGAGCACAATTCAGCTCTCGGTTGAGGAAATCTTTCTGATTTAATACATCTACAGTATAAACCTTGTTCACATACGTCGCACTAAACCGCCTAACGAAACGCTGGGGTGAAATGAAAACTGTTTCACACGTAGACATGAATGTCATGTAGGGTGAAAATAAGGCCATAATGCATACTTACATACAGTATGTCTGTGTTATACGATATAGAAATCATGTGATGCGAAATTTAACGTTTTATTTTGCCACATTTTGTTTCTCGGGTGGCTTAGCCATGATGTATGAACAAGGCTTTTTGACCTATGACATGATAGTTCTTGAAAATACACAAAATGCATGAACAGAAAGAACAACTTTGTTGCACAGCATGTACCTATTTTTCTCTCATAACCAATCTTCTATAAGAGATATAATCATTCAATTGGTATTACATATTAATAAAATAATCAACATGACTTTTTTTATTTCCTAACAAACTTGCCATTTCTTTAAACTTAATGTCTGTCCATATTTGTTCTAGTTCAAGACCAGTTGATTTGAATAAATTCCCTTATCTAAAACTTAACTAGCATATTCAGCTGAAGAAGGATACTGACAGAAGCACCTAATATATTCAAGTATTATAGGATAGATGTTGAAGGTTGGTTTGTTTGTTTGTTTTACGTGACTGCCAAGAAAGCATGTGTATGCTTGTACATAAGCAACCAGGGGATCAACGGCTACAAGTCCTCTCTGAGGGACTTAACCCTAACAAGACTGGGGGGCTGCCATACATGTACATGTGTAGTCCCTAATAAAAAATTCTCTGAGCGAAATGACCAGAGCTGCATTTTTGTTATAGACTGTTTCCCATAAATGATAATGCATCACATGAAATTGATAAAACACGGGAGTCGCTAGAGGGCGCGGTAAATTCTGAATTGTTTTGAGACAGTTTCTTTCACGATGGGATTGCATGACCAGGGACCCGTTTCACAAAGCCTTTTTTCAATGACAAATGGCAAAAATCAGTGACAAATCTGCTGATAACCAATCAGAAGCAAACATTTCAGTAGCTTATAACACAAACTGTCATTTGTCACTGATGACAACTTTTGTGAAACGCCCCCAGAACTCAACTTTATCTTTAATTGTGCCTTTATTGAAATTAACTGAAGGATAGAGTCAGCATGCTTATTTATAGAGCTTAGCAAGCATCTTGAGCTGCAGGATCTTGATATCTGCCGCTCCGAGATCCATCTTGACGATGCCATCTTCAGCGTCGATGTTGATCAGGGTACCGGTGCTCTCACGGTCATCACCCATTATCACCTTCACCTTCAAAGACAAAAAAGAGAGAGAGTATTGATAATGTTTTAGTTTCAGTCACATCAACTTTGGGAAAGAGAGATGACATTGTACGAATGATGCATGCATGCATGCTTGGAAATCACTTCACAATCTAGCTCCACAATTTAAGTCTGTACTCAGAGCCACAAATACGTGTGGGTTCATTATGTAAGTGGGACACCATAAATGTCACAAAGTGGGTCCCTAACTTATATATAAATTAATAATATTTTTAATAATAAATTAAATGTGCATATTAAAGAGATGAAAAATAACAGAATCACCAATTACATGAAAATAATAGAAAAATTGGATTTGATATCAAAATTGAAGTGAGCTAAAGAGTGTAAGAATATATTTTACTATACATTAAATCATTAAATCGACCGTATTGTGAGAAATCGAAAGGAACTTACTCTGTCTGTTTTGCTTGGCATGACTGGTTCCAGATGAAGAGCTTTCACTGTGACTACTCTATCCTCGCCATCGGGAAGATACACAGAACACAGGGGACCCTGATTGATAGATAAATACACAGATCGATAGATAAATCATTTCATTATTAAAGGGGAAGTCCACCCTGATATTAAGTTGGTTTAAATAGAAGCAGGGAAATGGGAGAAACAAAGTAGTGAATCTGATTAGAAATAAGGAAGTTATGAATTGTTAAAGGTATTACAAAGTTTTGGTATGGGGTCATGAATTTGGTTTAAATGAACATATTGGAAGCATATGCAATTCTACAATACTCAATGATTGTTGTCGCGGTTGAAATTTAGTCTAAAGTGATGAAATTGTAGATAATAAAGTCTTTATGTTGTATAGCTCCTTCTCAAGGTTAAGATATTAATTTAGCCTTAACCACTTGACTGCTATTGGCTTAAAACGCATTCATACCGCCTGTGCTACAGCATTTTTGTACTGTACAAAAACTGTACACTGTACACAAAAAATCTGGTATTTTTTTGGAAGAGGGCCGTCTACTGTTCAAGACCTGTGTAACAGCATTGCAGTGCCAATTACACAATAGGGCTAGGCCTTATGCAGTGCTACGGTCTTGAAAGTGCAATGCACTAAGCACATACATGTACGTGGTGCGCAGTCAAGTGGTTAAACAATGTTTCTTGACAAAAATCGACCGATTTGCTATTCCCGTTTGGAAATTTTATATCACAACTGCATATTCTGAGATTTTCAATGGTCGCAGCTACCATCAGATGGCCGTATAAGCTATTTGAAATTTATCAAAATTTACTGGGAGCACCGGTAAATTTTTTTATTCAATTTTTCTCGATGGGTAGAAGGAGTGGTTCTGAGAATCTGTATTTTGCTGCAATGTAAAGAGATAGAGAAAAGACGAACCTGGACACTTCTGATGACGCCCTCCTTGAAGATGAGCGACGGGTCGTCATGGGAGTCCTTGATCCTCACCATGATGTCTTGAGTATGCCAGTCACTCTGGGCGGGGTGCATGATGTCACCCCCCGGTGTCTGGGGGTTGTAGCCCAGGGGGGAAGGAGCCATGGGCGTGTTGGCAGAGTATCCCAGGGGGCTGGGATTGCCCTGGTAGCTACCGGGTGAAGGGGTGTGGTAGGTGCCTGATGGGGACGGGGTGGCCTGGTAGGAGCCGGGGCTCGGGGCAGGCTGGAAGCTGCTTGATGGACTGGGCGTGGCTGTAGCAGAAAAAAATATTTATTTATCTTTCTTCTACTTTTATCTCTTTCTTTCCCATTTTTTGCTCCTTTCTATTCTTTCTGTGTAACCTTTTTTATGGATGTGTGTGTGTGTGTGTTGATATGTGCGTACTTGTATTATGCAAGTCTTCCACTTTTATTGTTAATTTATGTTCATTATCTTGTTATTGTTTGTTGCAGGGCCCCAATTACAAGCAGATTTCTGCTTCTAAGGGATCTTGAGTTAAATTGAATTGTTAGTTTTCTGGCCTAGACAATAATCATAAGTAACATCATCATTATGCCCATGGTCATTATTTCGATCATCATACCTAAATGTAATTCAGCACCATTTGTATTATCCTTCAGGCTAATTTCTCCTTTCTTACTTTCCCAATTTCAGAATGCACCTTTGAATAGTTTACTAGATAGATGGTGCAATCTAAGTGCATTATATCATCATCACTGTCAACATCATAATTATCACCATCATCTTTACACCACTATCATCACCACCATCACCATTGTCATCATCATCTCCATCACCATCACCATCACCATCACCACCACCATCACCCCCATCATCATCATCATCATCATCATCATCATCATCATCATCATCATCATCATCATCATCATCATCATCATCATCACCACCACCACCACCACCACCACCACCATCATTATCATTATCATCACCATCACCCTCACCATCACCACCACCACCACCATCATCACCACCACCACCACCACCTTACTCACGTTGGTAACTGCCCGGTGACGGTGACTGCGTCTGCCCCCCATAAGGAGAGTACGTAGACTCGCTCCCGTACATCCCAGAGGAGCTGTTGGGCGTGGCGGGGGTGTAAGGTCCCTGGCCTGGCGACTGGGGCTCTCCAGAGTACCCTGGAGTGCCGGGGGTCGTGGAGCCGTAGGGCTGGGGTGAGGGAGACGACTCATCAAAGCTGAAAAAGAAGAACGTCAAACGAGATTAGCCGATCAGATATGATCAAAAGAAAAGTTGTCAAAGAGGTAAAACATAGACAATAGATAGGATTAGGGCAAGAAATACTAATTATTTAAAAACACTTTCAGACCACGAAATTTTCTTTTCTAGAGCTTCTAAAATTGACTTTTCTTTACGCTTTTAAAAACAATCATATATCCGGCTGCTGCCAGTGTTGTTAATGATGATGCTGTACCATCACTATTACTACCACTGCCACTAACACTACCAATACCATCATTTCTTCTAGAGCTTCTAAAATTAACATTTATTTTCTTTATGTTTTTTTAAACAATCATATAGCCGGCTGCTGCCAGTGTAATCAATGATGCTGCTATACGATCATTACCACTACCACTACTACCACCACCACCACCACTAACGCTGCTTCTTCCACAACCACCAACACAACTACCACGAAGCGGGAAAAGTATTGCTCCAAAATACCTCTCAGACCTCCTTGTAAAATAACAATCAGTGAGAAGTCTGAGGTAAGCACAGAAGGACTTGTATGTAGTACCTCACATTTCTACTAAATTTTACGGTAAACATAGTTTTGGTCATGCTGCCCCTGAATTGTGGAACAGCATCCCTTGTGATATTAAACATACAGATACCATGGATAAGTTCAAGACATCCTTAACTAGATGGAACTTCGACTGCGCGCAGTCGAAATGATGCCTCCGTCATAGAGCAATTTACAAACCAAAACAGAAGAAATTTTTCAAATTCAAGTTCAATTGTAATCCATTAACAGGTTCTCAGAATATCGTGATTACAAGCAATTTCTCATATACATATATGACCCTTTGATCTTTGACCTCATGACCCTAACATCTACTCAGTTCATTGGCTCCGCAAGATGTCCCGAGTTAAATAGTAATCCATCTGTCAGTTCTAATGAGTGTGCGTTCACAAGCTATTTTTGCATACATAATGAGCCCATGACCTTTGACCTTTGACCTCATGACCCAAGAATCTACTCAGTTCATTGGCTCTGCAAGATACATACATGATCTAAGTTTGGCAGGAATCCATCAATCTGTTCTAATGATAATGCGATCACAAGCTATTTTTGCATACATAATGAGCCGCATGACCTTTGACCTTGACCTCATGACCCCAAAATCTAATCAGTTCATCGGCTCTGCAAGTAACATACATGACCTAAGTTTGGCAGGAATCCATCAATCGGTTCTTGAGATAACGCGATCACAAGCTGTTTTTGCATACATAATGAGCCCTGTGACCTTTGACCTTTGACCTCGTGACCCCAAAATCTAATCAGTTCATCGGCTCTGCAAGATACATACATGACCAAAGTTTGGCAGGAATCCATCAATCGGTTCTTCAGATAACGCGATCACGAGCTGTTTTTGCATACATAATGAGCCCTGTGACCTTTGACCTTTGACCTCGTGACCACCAAATCTAATCAGTTCATCGGCTCTGCAAGATACATACATGACCAAAGTTTGGCAGGAATCCGTCAATCGGTTCTTCAGATAACGCGATCACGAGAACGGGACGTACGGACGGACGGACGGACAACCCGAAAACATAATGCCTCCGGCTACTTCGTAACGGAGGCATAAAAATGCATCTCTTTAATAAGAGGTGAATGAATCCTACACATAGGTCCTTCGGTGTATAATTTGACCATGCAGTACATTTTCTTTTCTTTTTCATTTTTCCTACAGCGCGTAGAGATGTTAACAAATGTATTATGCGCTTTGTAAGAACTGTACTATTATTATCAATATTATTACCTCATCGGTGTACTTGGAGCCGTCGGATCCCATGCTCCTGACCTCGAGGGGGTCATACTGCCGTCACGTGACGGGGTCATCGAGCCATAGTGAGGGGTTCCACCTCCTGTTGTTACAAAGACACACAAGGTTCAGGTAAACATTAGCTTGAAGGCAACAAAAATAGAAATTATTCCTCCAAAATAAGAATGGTTGGCAGGTATGTAATGATCATCCTATCCTGTAATGATGTTCGCGAGACATACATGTGTGTGCTAGAACCATTAAAATACTTGTTCAAGCTAAATATCAAACGTGATTTGTCATCCTTCTCCCATAATCTTACCATACATGTTCCATGTTTGTTTGTTTGTTTGTTTGTTTGTTTGTTATTGTTTTTTTGTTGCTTAGTCCCATATACTCACCATCATGAAGTGGTGTTTGCGAGCCGTACATAGGAGTTCTAGAACCACTGCCGTACATAGGAGTCTGAGAGCCATACATTGGTGTGTTTCTGCTGTAGGCTGTTGTCATTCCGCTACGGACCTGGTCACTACAAATTAAAATTAAACAGCAAATCAACATCAAAGAACATTTTTCTTGTAAGATATTCTTTTTTTTCACTGTCTTAGTCGTATAACATCTGTGTACCATTTATCTGTATTTCTTCCATACCCCAGGTGGAGCAGTTTAAGAAATAAAAAACAAACATTTCAAACATCTTTGAGCATTTCTACAGGTGTGCTGATTCATCATTATCATTATATCTTTAATGCAACCCGAATTTCAAGTTGGATTTCAAATAAAAAATAAAAAATATATAACAATGGTATAAATAATGTACATTAAGTCAAATAAACTGTAGAATCTGATACATAAGTATTTGAATAACCTAGTTCAGTGGTTTAATCTCTTGACGGGGAATGCTAAGGTTGTGGGTTCAAATCCGTGAGAAAGGCATTTTATCTACATTGCAAGACAAGCAACTGAAACAGGAATGACTCTGACAGGGTGCTCCTTTATTCATTGCATACAAATCTTCAACAGATGCTTTCAACTTCCATGAGTAGTAGAAAATCTCATACCAACGTTACTTAGTCAATGTCATATTTTTTTGCTCCAACATCATCAATGCTATATCTGTACTTACCTAACAATGTTCATTCTGCCCCTGTCGACATTGATGGTCTTACAGGTGGAGTGGAGCTCAATACGGGCCGTCGACTCGGTGGCGTCCTTCACGATACCGATATGACCTTCAGAGAAATGAGAGAAAACATTTTACGTCATGGTCGAAAAGCAGAGAGCTCTTAGTGGAGGTCATCAACCCATTATATGGTGTAACCCTGACAACTTTAAATACAACATTATACATGTGCATAGCAGACATGAGATGGACAAACTGGTAGAAGTTGAAATACATCTGGTCCTTATGAAAAGTGCAAAATCACTGGTGAAAAGTCCAGGGTGCAGTACACTTAAAGGCATCGTTTAACAACTACAAATCTAAGATGCATGGCCCGATGTGTTATCAGTGTCTGTGATATGGTATATTGAAACCCTAAAAAAATTGTTCAAAATGTTCATGGAGTGCCTCAAAAAAGTAAGAATCTTTGAGTGACCGGTTTTACCATACTCATTTTCCCCAATAGACTGTAGTGTTATGAAAACCATTAGGAAAAAAAAAATTTAATTTCGATTTCCAATCATAAATATCTTGATGATCAGACGGGCGATTGGCTTGTAAAAGTCATTGGATTCCTGACTGACCTAAAGGTTTATAATTATCATTGCAGCATGAGCTAAATCCAGAATTTTGTTTCAGAATCTGAGACAAAGTTACCCGATCCCTTTAATATCGTCTGTATGGAGCCAGACAGATATAAATGAGGCCTTAGCACATTGATGGTGAGGAGGTGAATGACAGACTGGGATTGGACGTACCTTTGAAGGGTCCCTTCGTGATGCGCACCGTTTGACCAATCAGCTCCCTATCTCTACCGACACGCCCCCTACCACGCCCACCACCACCAGGACCACCGGCTCCAGGTCCTTGCTGCTGACCTGTCAAAACAACAAACCAACACAAAATTTAAATAATTAGTCAAAACATGTATCATTTGCAAGCTTCTAAAGTGCAGAATTATAATTGAATCCAATGAGCAGGGTAATTAAATACCATAATCGCTTTGCTCGGTTAACTGGGAAAGCGCTTCATAATAAACGGTCATTATTATCATTATCAAGGGCAATAGAAGGACATGTCGACATTTCATCTCACCAACTGTAAACTTAACTGATATGGACATTATACAGTGATACTAGAAGATATCACCTTGTCAACGGTGATATTAAGCACTTTTTCAATTCTTTTTGATAAAATGACCAATATATAACAAAAAAGCTGTATGAACGACTTTCACAGATACACTGTAGAGAGAGCCCTCTTATGTCTTCAGTGCTACCTTTATAATGTCAAAAATGATCATGTGATACGAGGGCTCCTTGATGCAAAAAAAAAAGGAAAAGAGAGTGTTTCAAAGAGAGGAAGGTAGGGTTGGGGTACTCACCACCGCCACTGGGATGCATGGGGCTTGTGATACGTGGGCTCATTGGGGTAAAACCAGTTGAGTAACCGTCCGTTTTCTGGAGAGAGAAGACAAAAATACAGTATATGTTAAAATCTATCAAACATTGATTGTGATACTAATATATTCATGTAGTCTTCTGATACATAATGAATTTAACTCCTTCTATTTTACCCTGACTTTTCCTTCTTTCCTTATTTTTCTATGCTCGTTACTCAGCCCTATACATTTTCTACCAAAATTGTTGGACACCTGTCACTTATTTGCTATGTTGAATATATTGTGTAAGTTTTGTTGGATCCTGTGAGAATTCATTTTCTATCTTTACCAGAACTCAAGCTCATCAAGCAGGTAAATTGCATTAAAGGTATACTCTCATCCTTGCCCTAAAAAAAAGAAAGAAAAAAAATCTTGAGGCAATCTTACCCTTGATCCACCGGCCAGTACGATGTGCCTATTGCGCACCACAAACACTCCTCCATTCTCAGTCATAAGACGAGAATGCAAGAAGGCATAATTCCTGTAGATGTGTTTCACTTCTCCTTCTCTGCCCTGTGACAAAACAAAACAATGTCTTTCTATTAATGTTAATGATTTTTATGCCTCATGATGTATATTAATAAATCAGGGGATTCGTGGTGAAAAAATGGCATCTAACAACATTCCCCCCTTTCGAGTAAGAAAATTGGGGAAAATTAGGAAAAAAAATAGGGCAAAATAGGGAAGAATAGAGAAAATAAGGGGGAAATCAGTAAAATCAGGATAAAATCGGGAAGAAGAAAAAAATCAGGAAAAAATCGGGAAACCAATTTAAATCGGGTTTTTATCAGACCTGATAAATTCAATTATCATTAGGTTCTACAACAAATAATAAATTAAAGCATTGTTCAGATATGATGCAATAAAATCACAGATTTTCTTATTTTTATAATGATATAAAGTGTGATATGTTTCACCTTTCTTTATATTATAACACAGAGCTCAGTGAATATGCACAGAACCTTCGTTATATTTATAAATATATATTATTTTCATACCCTGTTCACACTTACCGAATGAGGGCCATCAATGACCTTGACGATGTCCTTGACCTGCAGGTTGTTCTGCTCTGCGTCCAATGCCACGGCGTGTCTCGAGTCTTTCTTGCGAGTCACAGCCTGCGGTTTCACTTGCACAAGCTGGAAAAAAACAGTGATGGAATTTTAAACACAATGACATTCATAATAGGCTTGAGTCGGTACGGTCGATCACACCGGGACCCGACCATTGCCGTCGGGTCCCGGTTTCGTTTTTTGAGAACCGACGCTCCGAAAAAAATAACGAAATATGTAAGAAATTGCAGTTTTGCACACCACTAAAATCAATCCACCTTAAAACTTAAGTATTTAATTGTTACCAATCATATTCTAGCTCATCCTGAATCAATCCGAACTGCTGATATAAATATGGGTTGCAAGGCAGTTCGCCCCATGGGGTTGTTGTTGCCAGCTACTAGCTAGCTACTGTACTGGCCGGGTCTCCCGGCAGGATTAATAAATCAGGTTGAAAGAAACATTAATGTTTGAATAATAAAACGGCTTTCTAAAAAGTACTTCTTTTCAACTTACCGATCGAATAATTTTTAAAAGACAAAATAAATATTTTTTCTTTGATTTTGAACACCGCATGCTCCTTTTAAAAGCTGAAATTTACTTGGTAATCACAAGAAGTTTCGATACGGATAGCAAGGCAAGTTCAGACTAGTCTCGGAAAAATGCGCAGTGCTCCACGTTAGCTGTAATGCGTGCCAGAACGAACCCAAACAAAGACGTGATCGTAACGAGAAAAAAATCATTAAAAACTACGAGAGCACAATTGGAAAGACAACTACTCAAAATTATCGTAAGCAGATACATATAACTTGGAGGAAGAAAACAATAGTTATCCAAGAAAAGCCACATAAATAGTGATATTGAAGGAGTTACTATAGGTACAATCATTATTGGAAGGGCCTGCTGCAATATCCGAATTACACGTGTTTAAATTGAACACGAGGCTATACGAGGCAAATACCGCCCTCTACGGTAAAAAGCAGTATAACAAAGGATTCAAGTATTTGCAGCAGGCCCCTTGCGATAAAAATGTACCTAGTTACTCCTCGATTATCACAATTTCTGTGGCATTTCTTGGGCGATTATTGAATTCTTTGTCCAGGTTATCTATCTGATTATGGTAATTTTGAGCAGTAGTTGTCTTTCCAATTGTGCTTTCGTAGTTTTTAATGATTTTTTTCTCAGTTACGATCACGTCTTTGTTTGGGTTCATTCTAGCACGCATTACAGCTAATTACAAGGAGCACCGCGCATTTTTCCGAGACTAGTCTGAACTTGCTTTGCAACAGCTATCCGTATCGAAACTCTTGATTACCAAGTAATTTTCAGCTTTTAAAAAAAAGCATGCGATGTTTAAAATAAGAGATAAATATTTATTTTGTCTTTAAAATATTATATGATCGGTATATTGTACAGAAGAAATTTTTAGAAAGCCGTTTTATTATTCTAACATTCATATTTTTTGACCAGATTTATTCAACCTGCATAAATCAAAATGGCGGCTCGAATGTTGTCTTTCTATTTCTGCCCCAGTTTTTTTACTTTTAGAGGTTTGAAAATGGCACTAAACATCGCCAATCATGGATGAAAATAATGTCAAATGGAAGAATATACCGATCTGAGCCGAGGTATGCATGTGTTGATTTATTTGATTGGTAAAAAAGGTCACTTTTAAGGGACATACTGATTTTATGCGCTTTTTATAGAGGCAAGTGACAAATCCTGCAAGCTGATTTCGGGACACCGGGTCCCGATCGGTAGAAGGCCGTCGGGACCCGGTTTATGAAAATCCCGACATGACTCGGGCCTAATTCATAATGACCTACTACACTCAAGACTGCTTTAGCGACCACCCGTATGGAAAAACAATCTGTCTATAAAGAAAACATTTTATGAATCCCTTGAACATGGTTTCTCATTGAAACCTGTACTAAAGGAACCTGTACATAAAGACCATCTGCCTATATAGGACACTTTTCATCACTATGAACATGACAGAAAAAGAATATACAGTTCCTCATTCTACCCTCAACAATTGCTGTGGTAGACAAAGGAACATCCCTTCACTGCTATTATGTAAAAAGTGTAGAACAGGTGAATATGCATGTGACACCTGTTCTACACATTTTTACATAATAGCTGTGAAGGGATGTTCCTTTGTCTACCACAGCGATTGTTGAGGGTAGAATGAGGAACTGTATATTTTGTCCTCTTTCTTTGTCCGTCATGTTCATAGTGCATGTTTCCCTTGAGCGGTCTTTATAAACAGATTTCATTTCAATATCTTTTTGGTGATGGGTTTTGGTGTTACTTGAAATTGCTGAACAAAGACCTGTTTGTTTGTTTGTTTGTTTATGTTTGATATCAAGCGCAAAAAAGTTGTGATTGATATCAACTCTTTGTAAGACGGGGCCCTCGTCTTGATGTTAGGGGTTCCATGTCAGTATACAGTATTAAAATAATAATTCAAATCATTAAATGTGATTTCAAATCTTACCTTGTTATGCATGTTGAGGACTTGAAAGGTTTCTTTTTCCAACCTTACAATTGATCCGACCGTCTGCGGACTGAAAAAACATCAAACAGAAAAACATGTAAACAAATTAAAAGTGTGCTGTTGGTTGAGTGAACTTGCGTACAAACCATTACAATTGTGTTTACCCTTCCAGTATTATTTCTTAATTTCTGCAACTAAATTGATGGATGGATTCAGCACTTTCTATCGAACAAAAACAATACAAACTTGCTCCTATACATGACTAGGGTGTACTTCTTTCATCTAAAATCCTAATTTCTGAAAATTACATTTAATAACTGATTTATTTGATAGTCAAAAGAGATAAGATGGGATTAAAAGTAATTTGCGAAGGTTTTTCAGACCTTATTTGAAATTGTATAAAATAGTTATTTCATTTCACATATTCTATTGTCTTTCAACTTTGTGCTACATCATGGATCTGAAGAAACAAAAACTTTTTTTGTGGACGTCGTCAATGATAGTTGCTACATTCAGTCTGATTTCATGTGTTAGTTGCATACTCACTCGAGCTGAACCAAGTCACCCAATTGGAACTGTCCCAGAGAATCCACTCCTGTGCTCATCTCCTGGCATAGCTGCAGATCCCGAGGTAATACTTTCATCTACACAGAGATAGATGAAGAGAAAGAGAATGTGTGGGGTGATGATAATGAGGTAGATAGAGAGAAGGATAGAGAGAGATAACAAGCAAAAGGGAGACAGATATAGACACACAGAGAGAGAAGGGGGTGGGGACAGATATAAGAAAGAATGAGAGGGGAGGAGAGAGAAACATAAAGAAAGGTTGTTAACCATTAGTTCAGATATTCTGAGAAATTGTCACAATCACTATCCCAACCACTACCATTACTGTAAATACATGTACATGTATGTCGCTCATACCACCATCCCTTTCATTGACATACACCAAAACCATCATCACCATCATCACCATCATCATCACCATCATCATCATCATCATCATCACCATCATCATCACCATCATCATCACCATCATCATCATCATCATCATCACCATCATCATCATCACCATCATCATCATCATCATCACCATCATCACCATCACCATCATCACCACCATCATCATCATCATCATCATCATCACCACCATCACCAGTGTTTCTTACCTCGTGCATGGTGAGATCTGAGAAGACAATAGCTAGGTTATCCTCCACCCTAACCACCAGGCCGGTGTCTCCCTCATAGCGACCAGCAATGACCTTCACGTGATCTCCAATCTTGAAATGCTTCCTCAGCTCGTGCGCTGGAAACTCTAAGGTATCCTTTACAAGAAAAGGAAAATAATACATATATCATGATAAGAACGACATTTTTAAAGGGACCATTCCAACTTATAATCTCCATAACTCATGCTGAGAAAATCAGGCACAGATAATATGCTCAATTTCACCTCAGAAACTATTTTTTTGTGATTTTGGTGACGTTTTGATAGTCAAAGATTCAATTTTTCCAAGCTGACTTTAAAGAGAGACTCCCAGTTTTCTTATCTCCTACAGGAGCTTTAAAATCCTTTCGAGTAGGAAAAGCCTTCTCTCATCCAGAAATCCTCCTATTTGGAAGTCCAGGGCTCCTGTCTTATAAAGAGTTGTGATTGATCCAAATCAATCACAAATTTGCAGTCCCTTTCTCTTTTGTACACAGCGGCGATTAATATCAATGGCAAATAAGTTGCGATTAATATCAACTCTTTATGAGACGGGGGCGCTGGTCAGTATTACTATCACATGCCGTCTGGATCTTGCCCTTTAGATGAATCAACCGCAAATAATTTGCCATTGATATCAACTCTTTATAAGCAGGCCCTGGATAGTATTACTATCACATGGTTTCTATCACATGCTTTCTATCACATGCTTTCTAGATCTTACCTTGAGGTCTTCGTGTTTGGGCAGGACCAAGATGGTGTTGCCGTCGACACTCTTGACTTTGCCCTGGAGATGGATCAATTCACCTTCCACCACCTCCACGTTGTCTCCCGGAGCAAAGCTGTGGCTCTTCTCCTTGGAGGACTTGCTCCTCGCTACCACTGCAGCAACAGTCGGTAAGGCTGGTTCAGGAAATGACTTGAGACACACTTGTAACAATAATAACAATACTGATCTGAGCTTAATACAAAATATCATCTCTAAGCGCCTTACTTACGTATCGTATTTTCACAGGGATTAATTTTCGTGAATTTTGTGAGTCACTTTTTAATCGCATATTTAAAACGCAAAAATGTTTACAGCAGGTAATGTCCTATTTCACAATCAGTAGAGTAAGCCCTGCCGCATGAACCGTGACCATGCCATGTGGCACAGTTTGAGATCAAACTGATTGTAATGGGGCACTTCAATAGATTTTTTCATTTATTTCTCCCCAAATAATTCTTATATTATGATGACATGAAAATAGAAAGATATACAAATCATTGGAAGTGGTTGTGGTTTCGGTTTTACAGAAATTTAACAACTTGAACCTGTGAGATTCATATAAATATATATCTTTACGTAAAATGATAGGCTTATACTGTACTAATAATAGCAAAGACAAGGATACATTCTACATCGATGTCTTCTGGTTTGTCCTCAAACCTTTCCAGCTCTGATAGTGTCGGTTTGATGCCTTCAGCGATCTGTGAGGAATACAATCAAGATAAGCAAACTAAACAATGTACCTTTGAGTTCATCTTGTCAATGTGGAACAAATTTGAGGGTTTGGTAGTTTCACAGAAATGAGTTGGGGTCTGCAAAATACATGTATTCCTAAAAGTTATGAATGTGTATTAAAGCCCAAATGTACTACTTATAGCTACTTGCTCCCTCTTCTTATGTTAATTGAGAGCTGAGTTGATGAAATAGCCACCTGTCAGTGCCCTTGCAGGGAGGTCTAATCCCTCCTGGTTAAACTAGTGCAGATAGGCTTTAAGACTTTGATTTACTACAATTGCACCAATATGCCTTTACATAAGAGTGGACCTCTGCTGTTATTTGATGATTCGAGCCAAGCATAACTTGGCATAACACGAGAATGAAATCATCTGCAAAATTTAAATAAATGAATATGCATTCCTAAAATTCACAAATGTGTATCAAGACTTTGGTTATCAAAATAATTGCATCAGTATGCCTAGACTCAAAAGTAGAGCTCTGTTGCTCTCTGATGATTTAATACACAAGCCCGAGTATACCTTGCCATAAAATGAGAAACAAGAAATCATCTACAAAGTAGTAATTTTACTTACGATAGCACTCATAGCAAAGGTCTTGAAGAGGAAGCCCTTCCTGCTGTATCGGTTCCCTTCAAACACCAAGAAATCACCATCGGACGTCACATCACCGCCGATCCTACGAATAGCCTCTATGTCGAATAGCTTCTGCTCCGGGCGTCGTCGCTTCCGCTTCTCGGCCGCGGTTGCGGCGGTGCGTTGGATTCCGCGAGGGCGGTTGTAATCGATGCGGGGGAGGAGCTTGAGGATGACCTGGTTCTGGGTCTGGTCCACGTAGTCTACTTGGCCCAAGTCGTCTTTGTAGACTCCTCGCCTGAACACCCATAAGAAATTGAAGAGGAATTGGTTTATGATTTGTGAAATAGTAAATTCAATTCAATTCAAGTGAAACATTTATTTTCTTCCATTCAATTTGACAACATATTTGACATCTGTTCAAACAACACAATTTATACGTAGGAACATTCATATAATTAAAGAACTTGTATTACAAGGAAGAAGGCGCGAAGCCCGATGAGCAGAGCTTGTAATGGGTATGCCCGAGTAAGGACGAAGAATGGGGACGTCTATGATCTCTTGAAAGTGTTGATGGTTGTTTTACCTACCTGCTCAGAAAGCATCTACATGTATGTGCTTGTAAGTTAGCAACCAGGGGATCGGCAGCTTAAGTCCTCTCTGAGGGACTTGGTAATGAGGATTTATGCCTGCCACATCAAAGGGCACTAGCGCATCGCCTGAGCTATCGCGCCTCACACTAGAGAAACGGTCAAAAGAAACTTACTTGAGCCTGACCCATGCTTTGCCCTTGAGCATGGCCGTCTCCTTGACCACTTTGAGGACATCGGTCATCTCCTTGATGGGGACCATCTTCTGTGTCCACTGACCGATCCTCAGCATCCCCACGCCGTTGATGGCTTGCTTCACATGAGTCTGCTTGTAAGACTCGATGTAGACGTAGCCCTTTAACCCCTCAACGGCCACGATGGACTTGATTTGAAGAGGCTGCATGAAAAGGGAAAAGAGATTTAACCAAAAAAGGTTGTATTATTAAAGGGATCGTTCAACAATGTTAAATCTGAGATGCATGGCCCCACGTGTTATCAGTGTCTGTGATATGGTGGAATATTGAAGCCCCCCCCAAAAAAAATTGTGCTTCAAAGTGATCAAGAAATGCCTTCAAAAAGTAAAAAATCTTTGAGTGACCAGTTTTACTCATCATCCCCAATAGACTGTAAAGTTATTAAAAAAACGTTTGGAGAAAAAAAAATGAAATTTTGATTTCCAATCATAAATATCTTGATAATCAGACAGGCGATCGGCTTGTAAAAATCATGGGGTTCCTGACTGACCTAATGGTTTATAATTATGATTGCAGCATGAACTAAATCCAGGATTTTGTTTCAAAATCTGTGACAAAGATACCCAATCCCTTTAAAAAATAAGGTTGCAGTATGGTAAAGATGAAAATAATTCTAAATTTTCAAATGTAGCATATCTGACAGGAACACAAGACGTCGAGGATAAAATTTAGCTGTTATTCCTGGGCCAATGATATCACTTTTCTGGATTTGTAATCTGGTACAGAGCAAACACATTGTGTACATGAAGTTAAGAAAAATGTGATACATATTTATATTTATACCGTCAAATCTGTCTATAGCGAACGCCCACAAAAAGGAAACACAAAAAGTGGGCTTTGTACACAGGTTCCTTTAGTACATATTTCATTGAGAAACCATTTACATAGGTAACAAAAGATGTGGTCTTTGTAGACAGGTGGTCACTAAAGCAGGTTTGACTGTATATATAATAAGAAAAGAAAATGATTACAAAATTAACGTTAAACATTCATTTGAGCGCTTCTAAGAGGCATACAACAAAATGTACAGAATTATATTACCTCCTCCGTATTCTGGTACGCAATGAACTTCCTCATGAGTTGGATTGCGACCTCTTTCTCCTGACCAATCGTGCATTTGACCATCCATAGATTGGGGTCTCTGTAAGCAGTGAGATGGGATGAAACAAAATTACACCAGTCTTTGTAGATACACAGAATCCAAACCAAATCATTTGCAGATTTTCTGCCAATTTTGGTAAAACTATTAAACTAAAGCATCGGTGGAAAATGCAGAGCATTACATAAGGCCTGTTGGTCATAACACAAAGGGCTAATCCTGGTGATTGACAACAACTGTTATTGGGTAAAGACCCGAATGGTGTTGTATTCCCTATGAGAGCCCACTACTATGTGTCTTTAACTCTTATTACACAATACTTAAAGATAAAGTTTAGTTCTGGTAAAAAAAAAGAAAATGAATTCTCACAGAATCAAATGAAACTTACACTGAATGTTCAAGATTACAAATAAATGTCATTTGCAAAACAATTTTGGTAGAAAATGTAAACTGGCTGAGTAATGAGCATCAAAAGATTAGGAAATCTAGGTTAGTAGCCCCGACACCATTTGTGTAGTCCCATACCATACATGCCAACATTTGAAAATCAGAAATCTGTACAAATTATGCTATTTAAAAAAAAAAGAGGAACAATCCTAACTCTCCTATTCAATACTACAGACAAATTTGTACAGGAAGAGGAACACCTGCATTAAAATGATAATTATCTTCTCCCAAAAAGAGGAATGTTCCTCTTTAATCTGAACAGTTGGCATGTATGCCATACACATCTTTCTGTGTACAGTGCTTGTTACTTTACCAAGACTGGGCCAAATTTATTATGATTTTGATGACTTTAGAACTTTGCAGTACACACCAATACTTACATGCTACATGATCAACTTTATCTGATCCATTCCACACCCTTTTTTTTCACAATGCAATCGGATGACCAGAACTCACCTTTATCTTTAAATTTTACTAACCTAAAGAAAATTCTTCATGGCATATTCACGATTGTGTAAACACCCCTTGATAGACTTTGTAGAGTACTTACTTCACACCAGGGAGGAGTCCTTGCTGTGTAATAGAGTCGGGTAGCTCATCTTCATCTCTGTATGATGTACTCGTACCCTCAGCATACTTTCTCTTGTAATACTCCTCTAACTCGTCTTCTTTCTGGGTGCTACAAAACAAACAGAGAGAAAACATTGCATATATTGAATAAGATTTCATTTTATGTTTATTTATTCCATATACATACATTCATAAAAAGATTATAAGTTAGATGTATGAAAATGGCATGGTGTTTTACATGAAGGGGCTATATTTATGCACAGGTTCCTTTTGAAATAGAAATTTCAATGCAAACAGAAAATGTTGCATTCTTTACAGATGGATGCAGCATACTGCAAAGGTTGTCCACCTAAATATTGTGGACGGAGGTCCCCTAAACACGTTAATACCTAACAACCTTTTACAACATTCCATGTCTCAAGAACCTGCTGTGCACCCTGTTGTTATGATGGTGGAAAACGTATTTCTACATTTGGTGATCAAAAATAAATAAATTTATCCCTCATCAAATTATTCAAATAATTCAAATTAATCATATTATTGCAAAAATTGACAGCACAATAATATACTTTTTTGTATTATTTTCTTGATTATAATTACCTGAATAACTGAGTAAGCCGCCTAGCGCCATGCTGATCGCTGTCATTGTAATCTGTTGGAGCATTGTTGATCAGAGCTTCGGCTCCAGCCTCCCATTCATCTTCCTCGTCATCCTCCCCATAGTCATCATCGACGTCTGGTTCACGCAGAACAAGATAGAAATGGGGAAAATTAAGAAACTTGTACAAATACAACGTTCATATGGGCAAAGAAAGAAATGAAGTAAAAAAAATAATAGATACAGCATAAATATGCGGCATTGATCTACATTTGTAGTAAACTATTCTGAGGTGCATAAGAAATATTAATGTTGGGCTTCCTGGGAGAAGATTCAATTGTTGTAAAGAAATGTCTCCACCAAGTTGAAGGAAATGTGTACAGTACTTAGTAGGACTAAACTTGAATGCTTATCAGTAGGGGCAATAAAAGTGTTCAACACTTTGCTTCCTTTGTAAAGATCGCTTTCTAAACCTAGGTATTATCATGATCATAATTATCTTCAACTTACCCGCCTCATCAATGATAAAGCTCTCAACCTTCCTCTTCTTTGGTTTCTTCCTGCGATCAACCTCTTCATCATCTTCCTCCTCTTCTTCGTCATCCTCACTGCGTGGTTCGCTCATCAAGTCCTCCCCATCCTCCGGTTCCTCGTCACCATCATCGGCCTCTTCACCCTCCTCAGCTTCATCAGCACTTCCTGCTGGACTACCCTCCTACAGAGTGGAACATTCCATGAGATTATTTCAGGGTTGCTATTGCTATCGCCTTGCGATATATTCAGATAATTCAAAACTCCTGATAAGACATGACCATGACTGATATGTAAAAAGTAAAATTCTGTACACACATTACACTGCACACAACTACACTACACTGAACAAACTTATGCTAACTAGATGTTGAAGGTTGGTTGGTTGGTTTCTGACTGCAAATATTTTAGCATGTGTAAGCTTAAAAGAATTAAGCAACCAGGCGACAGACAGCTCTAAGTCCTCTCTGAGGGACTTGGTAATGAAAATTAATGTCTTACAGTTAAATTGCAACTAACTCGCATGCAAGCATCCTCCATAGGATATCATTTTGAGCCATATTATTCTTACAGTATTTTAATGTACAGTTGACTCGGCATAACTGTAAGTCGAATCTGTTGGGACCTCACCAAAAAAATAGTTAGACTTACATGTATGTAGAATTCTACTACACAGGAAGTATTTACATGTTCTGCATAGTTTGTTCCAAAAAAATGATCAAGCTTAGGGAAAATTTGGTAACTTTGAGTTATGCATGTACATTTGTAGGTAAACTGTGATGACTAATTTTCTTAATTGTGCATTATGATATCACTACAACACTTGTATTTCATTTTGAGATGGTAAACACAAAGGTTCCTAGATGAAATACTGTACTGAAAATAATGTCAATAAATTAGTCTGGACATTTACTCATCCTCATAGTCCTGTTATTATCAATACAAAGAAAAGAGGAGCTAGAATTTTGGGAACATAGTTTCAACTTCCAAGGGTTCGTTGAAGGTTGACAATACAGGTTTAACTTTTTCTTTTAACAATTTGTTTCATGGACATATCCTTGCCGTGGGACCTTGTTCTAACTTGGTATGTATCCACCGCTCTATGAATCAAGTGAGAGATCTGGCTAAAATAATGCCTTTAGATAGCAACTGAACTTGTTGAACAACATTTTTATTTCCATGATTAAAGCCAAAGGAAATTGGTTCCTAATTTCTTGTCCCCTCCTGTGTCGCTTTCCACAGCCAACCCCCTTTTCTCCCTTCTTTTTTTGTTCTACTCTTCTTCTTTTTCGTTTTGAATATACCAGGCAGTGCATTTCGAGCCTCTGAAAACAAACAAAATGCTATCATGAATGATTGTACTTGTCCCAATAGCAGCTTTGATCCAGCTCCGTTAAGCTACGGATGTCTTTTAACTGCACATAGCTCATTGTAGACCTTTTATTGAGACACCACATGTATATATATACACCTGCACAGCACCTACAATCAGTACTAGAATACACCCGACGGTGGCCTGTACTTATAGCGAAGAAGAAGAAGAAATTATGAAAGATCAAATAACATGGAACCTTCTTCGTATTTGTTTACAAAAATTGGAAAAAAATACTTTGTTCCTCTCAACCCAGTTACTGCATGTACAATCTGTATTTTTAAGACTGGGTAGATAAACCCTGGATTGGTAAACATTTTTATGTAACCCACAGCCACGCATTCTGCACTACGTTTTAAGTCAATTGAACTTATATCTTGGAAGACGACCGGGAGATCTACAGGACTACCTCACTCCTGTATATCGATGATGATGATGATGAATTAATTTGGTACCTGGAAATGGTAATAATTCAATAATTGCAGGTATTGATACTGAGGTGATTACCCTGGGAAAATAAGAGCCAATTATTATCATTACAACAATTATTATACAAGTAAATGTAAGTCATTGTTGTCAATGTCAGTTTGGCATACGTACCTCTGCATCACTGTCTTTCTGAAAGCTGTCGTCCCCCTCCTCCTCCTCAGAGAAAATGCTGTTCTCACTATCTGACATGGTGAAAGATAGACACCAACAAACCAACAAATCACCAAGCCAAGGGCTCGTCTTGTAAAAATCTGAAATACAAAAGGAAACATGAAAATGTATACCCGGCCCAGACATTGCATTGTGCGTGTGCGTCAAGACAGGTTGTGTATCCGGACAGTATATATAGTCTACATTTAAAAATTGAAGTTAAATGCCTAGATCTAGATCAATTGTTACTTATTATAGATCTAGAATTAGACAATATCATACAGAACATGAATATAAATATGATGGAGAGTGATCTTTGATGCAAATATTGTGCAACTCCAAGACCAAAAAAGGCAAAACAAAAGAAAAAAGCGACTGCTTTATTTTTAACAACAAGGCCTCAAGCGTCCAGACACACAACCCCCCCCCCCCCCCCCCATCACATTACTAAATATAGAGCCTTAGAGGTCTACTACCCTCAAGCTCAACTGCCACTGTCCATGTTCATATTATTTGTCACGAACTGAGTGAAAGTGAAGTTGTAAATTGCAATGACATTTGACCAAAAAAGATGGGCATGCAATTCAAATTCCAATCCAGAATTTACTTTTCTTTATGGCTTATGCAAAGGCAAAGCAGGCTGTGAATTAATGTGATGGGCTAAGCCTCACCTTAACATAATAATAATTATCATAAATTTGCATAATTTCTTATTTTTGGGATAAGGAAAACGGGCTTACGTGCAAGGAAAGGTCGAACCTAGTCTTGGATCTGAAATATCAAAGAGTTGATAGCTTCGCCAAGCCGATGCTGACTGTGTGCACCCCCGAACTTTCCCGCGATTGAGCTCTGGAATTGCGTTCAGCTCGAGCACCGCGACTATAAGTATAACACTATAGCACAGCCTGCCTCAGTCCTTTCCTGATGCACAGCTATACTAACTAACTAACTCAAAACCTGTATGGAGCATGTGCGTGCGCGCGCGTACGCTATTCAATACAAAACCTATGTGTAAATCGCGCCCGTTGCGGTGATCTCTTACGCGCGCGTTACCGCGTACGTACGTCTTTATTGTGCATAAAAAATGTTTTTAAAACCATAGAAGATAAGAATGTCTATTGGAAATGGAGGCACAGTAATATTTGTCATAAATGTTTTTTTCTATTCAATGCAAAAATATACATTTCACTAAATGTCTTCCTAGATAAGTAATTGAATGACCTTCGCGAACTTCATCTAGTAATTTTCTTTTTTTGAGGCTACCATAGTTGATGTTTGTGACGTCATCTTCAGAATTTCAGTACGCCATGTTTTTCATTCTGCGAAAGAGACAAATCTGCACATCTGTAAATGAAAGAATGGATTCGTCGTGAAATGGATGCGAAAATGCTGTGAAATGTAATCATTACCTTAACAACATTGTATAGAACACATTGACGAGGAAAAATCGAGGAAACAAACGGGAAAACGTCAAAAAATGGCGCTTGAAACCCTGTTTGAAACACCCCCGCCTCTCGTGTCCAGTGAAAACAAAGAAAGCCTAAATGAAGGCTCAGAAAGGTCGAGTAGCTATTCTCAAAATAATATTTGTATCACATATTTTGTGTAGCGTAAGTACATACACAAAAGTGTAGTTAATTGGTGATGTTCTGTGGATTTTAAGTCTGAATAATCGTCATTTTTCTTCGTACAACGCCCAGAGACGCCGTTTTCTCATTTGCATAATTTATTCGCGTGACGTCATTTTCTTCCCGCCTGGCTTGGATCGGTCCATTCGGGGAGAGGGATGCTCAGGGTGAATAGTTGGTCGAGGGATCGTGCAGCTACCGGTGTGGTTATCATGTACAGGATGACTGATGTGCGGCGTAAACTGTTGAGGATCCTCGCTAACCCAGCTCAGACAATTTCCTTTATTATCTTCTCGCAGCAGGTTCAAGTTGGGCAGGTTTTAGGAATAGAGAAATAACTGTTCGATGTCTTCTTTTAAAGAAAGAAGAGTTTATTATGGGGTCCCCACTTCGGGGAGTTTTTATTTAGCGAGTTTTATCCTTATCCCCCCTTTCATCCCCATGTCTGTATTGTAGACTACTTTAGTCACTGTGCATGATGTGATAAAAGTTCGTTGACCCGGGGTGTTTTGCCACGCCACGTTTCAACGAAGAAGAGATTACTGAAGTTAGTCTTGTCATGGTCTTGTCCAGTCGCCGTTTCAGGCAAATATGACGTGGACGAGCGAGGCCAAACAAAATGTGAATCTAGAATTAGAAATCTACATTGAACAATTCCTATCTGGTTATGCTGTCTTTCATTTACCATTTGGATAGTGATACTGATAGATTCCTGTTTTTTTTTAGGGAGAAAAAAGGTTGTCCTAAAAATTTTAAGACAAAATTACTTGAATGTGGGCCATTTCAGCAATAATTATGATTGATCATAGATAATCTACCAATAACTTCAGCTAGTCTACATTTTCAGTCTTGTTGATTATTTTTTAATTGAATTTCCCCTAAAAGTTTCCTGATCGCTGTATCATTTAATCTATAGGACCATGGCATGATTATTTAAAAATTATGGCATTTGAAAAGTGTTGTTTTCAATTTCTAATTTTTGGATTCATTGTGCCAGATGATATTGATATTTAATTGAGCTTTGGGGTCTAGATATCTTGAGGATTCAGACTACACATGACTTCACAGAGTGTCTTTGCTTTATCTTCAAGTTCAACTATGTATATGCAGGTTTTTTTTTTTTAAAGGGAAGGGGAGAAAATGCACAGATACATGGAAAGTCTACATGCAGACTCTTGATTATAGGCCTACACAAAGAATGAAAACATTAGCAGAATTATTTAGGCCCTGTGCAGTGCGAGCAAACTTAAAGCGAACAAAGTTGTTGAAATCCACAGAACATTCCACCAACTGCTTGAGGTAGATGTATCTCGATCGAGCTACACTTTGTGTATCTTAAGTAGACATTGTAGACGCTAAATGTAAGTTAGCAACTCCTTGCATGTTTCCTATTTAAACTTTCCTTCTCTTTAATTCCTTCCCTTTCTTTCGCTAGAAATAATTGCTAGATGACTTTATGTGATTGTAAAAATGTTGCAGATGGATATGTGTGAGTGATCCTTTTTTTTTTCTGTGGCTGTCGTGAATTATGCAACTGATTTTATAGCGTAATTCTTGACAATATTCAGTCAATAACAACAAGATGGGGTAGACCTGAGGGTTCACCTTTTTTTTTCTCTCGAAAACCTTATGAAGTATGAAGTTAAAACTAAAAGGAAAATGTTTTTAATTTTTTTTTTTTTTTTTTTTTTAATTTATTGGTTAGGGGGTCACAGTTTGTGCCAGTGGTCATATTATTTTGGGGGTGTGTGATCCTCGGCTTCAGGTTTTCCACCCCCCCCCCCCCCCTCAATAAAAATAAGTCGTAATCTGATCAACTCAATTATCTCCATTTTCCAATTTTTCGCATCTTTTATGAGCGTTTTTTTTTTCTTCATGAGATGGAGATTCAAATACCTCCCCCCCCCCCCTTCACAAAAAATGGCATAAGTTAATTATATACCCAAGTACTTCAAATAGCATGTTTCAAGTCTCTTTCCCATCTCGATCCCTGTCCCCAAGTATATGACTAAAAGAGTATGAATGATGAAGAAAGTCATATGCTTCATGAAAAATGAAATGAATTTATACCCCTTCAAAAGGTAATTTGCCCCAAATATGGGGTTTCCATTTTTGTTTTTCAGTTTATCAATCCCCCTTTTGTTTTCTACTTGTTTCTGCATCAATACACCCTCTCAAATTTTTTTCTATTACAATACATGTGGGGTTTTTTAATGACTAATTGTTACATACATTATTTTAAGGGAAAATTGGTGACCCCATGTATTCAAGAAACACATTTACAGGCATATGTCTTTCTAGACCTATACGTTTAAGATAGAAAAGCTCCCATATTTAAAAATATTTTCTTAGAAAAAATATATGAATTATACACATTGAAACTAATATAGTTCATCAATTGAAACAAATAATCCTAAATGAAAGCTCCCCCCCCCCCCCCCCCCCCCCCCTCCCTCCTCCTTCCCCTCGTTCAAATTTCTTTCACATTCATGTCTCAATTTGGGCAAGTTGTTTACATCTAAGCAGTGTCCCTCGCGACATGAGAAGAAAAATCCCCTGTTAATGGAATGGAATAGTCCAAGGGATGGACGCTCATGAATATGTAGATTATTGGCAAATCCTGATTGGATAGCTATTTATACACCTTATTCTTATTCAATATCCAGCTACTCTGTATTGCAACATACATAATAGTGTAATACTTGTGTACATGTAATGCAGAAAGTCCTTAATTGTAAAACAGGAACTAGCCTGCGGTATAATGATCTGTACATGTATATTTGCTCAACTGACAGCTTAGTCATATTATGGAGATTGATATCCAGGCATATTATAGGGATATAGTGCCTCAAAGTAATATGAAGGCATTATGATTGACAGCTAATTTTCTCTAAACATATTTTTATTTTCCCCCATCACTACTGCAGATAGAGAGTTCTTTTAAATATTGTTACACATTTGTTGCTTTTCATATATTAATATGTTATGTACATGTAGTTACATTTACCATTGCAAAAATAGCGGATATAATTAATTAAATATTAATATTTATTGTAGAATAATGTTAATACTCTGAAGTAATTAAAAAGAAAAATGGGGGGGGGGGGGGACACAAATTGTAGCAATATAGGGCCTAATGTATACACCCCCCCCCCCCTCTTTTCCCACATTGCACACACAGTTAACTTATCTCTTCTCAAGAGTATTATTCTTCAATTAATACTTTGTCTTACCATTTTGCCCCCCCCCCCCCTCCCCCGGGTCATTTTGTTCACATATCTTTCTTTCTTTCTATCAAAACAACTTGTAAGGTAAATCCTATCTTCATTTGTTATTATTATTTTACTAAAATTATTTACCTTTTAGGCCTACCTCTCCTTTTTTCCTTCATTCTTGCTCTTTCAAATTGTTATTGGTTTCAAGTTTCACTTCATGAACTCCAGTAAACAATACATATATGAACAACCCAACCACCCCCCCCCCCCCCTCCCCCACCCCCCTTAAAAAGGAGGGAGAAAACAATTAAAGCAGAAAATAAATGAATTGACAAATTTATATGTCAGAGTTACAGAATGTATAAGTCTCCACATACCGTACATGTAGGCTCATCTTGCACCATGACAATAATATATTTCTATCATACCGTATTCATGAATGATCCCATCATGTATTTTCATTGAAATATATACAACTTGGCTTTTTGGTCTTCACTGTATATAAAGCAGTGCGCCAAGATATGAAAACTGCAGTGCAGGAATACAAATATGTTACCTCAAAAATGGGATTTAAAAATGTCAGTAAATACTCTCTGACTTTATCTCTAAATAGCATCTTTGTTCAATATGAAATATGTGCCCCTGACTGGCCTAACACAGTCATCTACCGAAGCAGTTGTTATGTCACGTGTTAGCTGCAATCATGATTTTGTTAAAAGGGGGAAAAGAGGGATTTTTGCAAAATTGAATTTGACCTTTGATCATTTCAGTTTGAGAAAAACATATCTGCTCTGTTCAAGTACATGATTGTTATCAAGTTACTAGGGAGAGTAGCTGCTAGGAATGTTTGATCCATTGAGAAAGTATTTGAACAAAAAATGTAATTCATTCATAATATTTCTGAAAATCATATACAACACACTGTACTCAAATAATTTTCAACAGTACAGAAAACCTTTAGATTGAATAATGCAGGGAGGGCAATTGGGGCCTGTTTCAGATCATGTGAATGAAAATTTGTAGGGAAAATGAGGAAGAAGGCAAAATAATGAGCCTCTGTAAAAGAAAAAAAATGAAAGAATATGACCCTGCTGGTACAGTTAAAAATCTAGAATTCATTTAGATGCATGCAGCTGTATAAGATCCAACGCTTGGATAAGGAGAAAATAGGGAGAGAAATATCACGACGATATCCTTAAGTTGGCTTATATGCCATGTTTTCCTAATTGAAAATACAGAGTAATCCTTGGCATCTACAAGTATATGACTTTATACAATGTTGAACATTAATAATCGAGTGCACAGAAGTCTGTGTATATTTTCAGCAAAAATTATATATATTTTAATTGTGTTGGGTACGAATAAAACAAATTTTAATCCATAGATGTGACAGTAAACACAGTTTCATACCATTTTCAACACAGTATTTCACTTCCTTTAGTCTTTGGACTTGTATCTCAACCATGCTAAATAGTGCTCTATTACAATATCACATCAAATATACCAAGATAGACTACGGTATGCTATATGTTTGCTCCAAAATGGGATCTGTATAATTATACCCTATTGTTTAATTTAAAGAATGAATCAAGTATTCTGAATACAACTGAAAAAGTTGTATGCAGACTTGTCACACGTGCTTTACAAATAATAAATCATCATCATTAGTAGTAGTAGTAGTAGTAGTAGTAGTAGTAGTAGTAGTAGTAGTAGTAGTAGTAATAGTAGAAGTAGTGGTCGTAGGAGACATTATTATTATTATTACTATTTGTTGATTATTATTGTTAGAGTTATTATCAATATTAATAGTAGAAGTAGTAGAAGAAGAACATGCAGTAGTATTTAGTATTATCATCATCATCATCAATATTACTATTACTATTATTATTATCATTATCATTATTATTACTATTGTTATTATTATCATTATCATTATTATTATTTTTATTGTTGTTATTATTATCATTACAGGGACCCAGAAGAGGAAGGGGAAATCTTAGAAGATGGGGAGCTGAGTGATGAAGATGTAGAAGGAACACACCAACCAGAGGAGATGGAGAAGGAGGAGGAAGGGTACAGAGATGGAGATGCTGGCTATGGTTACCAAGACGATGCAGGGCAGGAGGAACAAGTGCAAAATGTGGAGGACCAAGAGCAAGGTATGTATTCAGATTTTAAACATTTATTTATTTTTACTTTCCAAGGAGAGTGTTTCTCAAAGACTAAGATCGACTTCAATTTGGACGTAACTATGGCAGGCCATTCATGCCATTGGTTGCTCTTACCATTATGATCTTTAGACAATATTTTTTCCTTCAATAATGAATTATCCAAAAATGTAAATTCTTTAGGTTTGTGACCATGATTTGTACGTCCCTTGAGAGATCAATGGCAGTAAATAGTGAGAGCAAGCAGTGGCATGAATGGCCTGCAATACATGTAGTTAAGTACAACCTAACATCAATCTTAGTATTTGTGAAACACCCCCATGGAATTCTAGAGTAATGTGTCTTTGAGATATACATGTATATGTGTAATGTGGATAAAATGCAAGGTAATTCCTAGAGTCAAAACTGTGCTCCCCTACCAGGAGATAGGGTAGTGCAATCCCAACCGTCACTTACTCACAGATCAAAACCAGAGGCTGATAGAGAGACATCAATCCTACTTGGCCTGGTAATTTATCATCAAGGTGGTTTTAATTTTGGCAAAAGCTTTATTTCATTCAGATTAAGAGTTAAGGGTTGTGATTGAGTTTTATGGTAGGTTTAGAGTTAGGGTCATGTAAAGTGTGTGTTTCAGGGTTGTAGGTTAAGGGATTCAGTTTTACTCCCGGGAATTAACTGTATCCCTTCAAAATGATCATGAAGTGCCTTAAAATTAAAAATCTTTGAGTGACCGATTTTACCATACCGGTACTCGTTTTCCCCAAAAGACTGTAGTGTTATGAAAACCGTTAGGAAAAAGCAAAATTTGATTTCAATTTCCAATCATAAATACACTGTATTTTGATAATCAGACAAGCAATCGGCTTGTAAAACTCATGGGGTTCCTGATTGACCTTGAGGTTTATAATTATCATTGCAGCATGAGCTAAATCCAGGATTTTTTTTCAGAATCTGAGGCAATGTTACCCAATCTCTTTAACCCATTTTCTTTGTTTTCACGCAGTCTTTGAGAGCCCCCGCAAAAGCAGGAGACGTCACAGGCACCGGGAAGCCGTAGAGGAAGAGGTGGAGGAGGAGGAAGGGAACGAAGAGAACGAGGACGATCAGGAGAGGAGGAGGAGGAGGAAGAGAAGGAAAGAGAAGCACAGTACCAGTAGACGCCATCATCACAAGAAATCAAAAAGGCGAAAGAGGCATCACTCTAGCGATGAAGAAAATGGAGTAAGAATCATCTTCCTTGATCACAACAGTTGTAAATTACTTGTCTTGTAATAACAGATTGATTTTACAATTCATACCCTTACCAAATTTTGTAATTTTTTTGATGTGTGAAAATAGATTTGTCCTTATTTATGTTTCTTGAGAAAGTGACATATTAATGCTTACATATAGTATTCAATAAAGGTCCTAATTCAGCAAGTCTTCCTTTTATTCTTGAGATACAAAAAAACATCAAATTTATATTAAATCCACTGTCCTACTTATAGCTCCTTGCGCCCTCTATATAGCAAACAATGCCTAATCGGTGACCATTGGTTCCCCCTGAACCTCTTTTCTCATGTTAATTGAGAGCTGATTTGATGAGATAACTACCTGTTAGTAAGCTTGCAGGGTGGTCTATAAACTAGTACAGATAAATTTAACTCTATTTTCTCTATATCTGTACGTTAACAGAGTCCAGAAGATGAAGGTAGAGTCCAGATGGAAGACGACGGAGGGCGAGTCCCCCCACGTAAGAGACGCTCCGTCCACAAAGACAGAAGACACCCTTCAGAGCCGGACGAATCGGAAGTCTGGAACGAAGACGGAGGAGACGATCTTGATGATGAGATGAGGACCGGTAGAGGGAGGGGAAGAGGAAGGGGGAGAGGTAGGAGAGGGCGTTCCGATCCGGACGAAGCAGAAGCATGGAACGAGGAAGGAGGAGACGATCTTGAGGATGAGATGAGGACCGGAAGAGGGAGGGGGAGAGGTAGGGGGCGAGGGAGGAGGGGGCGTTCCGATCCGGACGAAGTGGAAGTCTGGAACGAAGACGGAGGAGACGATCTTGAGGATGAGATGAGGACTGGTAGAGGGAGGGGGAGAGGGCGGGGGCGAGGGAGGAGAGGGCGTGGTGAGAGGAGGGGGGCACAGGGGAGAGGAGAGATGTGGGGGATGCAAGGAGGCATGGATGAGGAGGAGGAGGGAGGATACCGGAGCTCCGGAGCGGACTCGTGGGAGGAGGAGATGCGGAAGTACAAAGCGCATCAAGAAGGGTGAGTGGAAACCTTTGACACTCTGGGCGATTCCCTGGAGTAAAGCAAATGTTGGTTCTAGGGGCAGTTGTCTGTTCTTAATGTGGAGTTGTCGTGGTCTTGTGGATATGTCACCAGACTGTTGATCACATGGTTTGTGTTTCGTGTCCCGCCGCGGCACTTACATGTATGTCCTTTGGCAAGACATTCATCTATATTGGGAAAAATGAGTATTGCAAAACCGGTCACTCAAAGATTTTTACTTTTTTGAGGCACTTCATGATCATTTTGAAGCCCCATTTTTTTAGGGCTTCAATATTACACCGTATTACAGATGCTGATATCATGTAGGGCCATGTATCTCAGATTTAACATTGTTAAACGATGCCTTTAATATACAACCCATACTCTTGAAATTTATTTTTTGGATGCCATCCTTCATTATTTCTTGATGTCATCACTCATCCAATGATTTTTCCTTGAGCACTGTTGCCCATAAAGTTAAAATAATTTTTTCTTACATCTTTTCATTATAAAGTGATTTTGTCATAATGGATTATTCATGATACATAAACTTCTCATCTTCTCAGAACCGTATTATCTTCGGAGTCATAGAGATTGATCTATTAAGTTGTGAGAAGATATAATTAATATTTAAAAAATATTTTAAAAGTATTCAGACTTCGATGGCAACACTGTTTAACTGCTATGATATTGACTCTCGTTACCCAGGTTTGTAGAGGATGAATCCGAGGAGGAGATGCACACCCACATGGGGGGTGCACCCAGAGGGCGTGGCAGGGGTAGAGGGAGAGGCAAGCTGCCCCAGGGTGCCAAGAATGTGAGTACAGGGCCCAGGGAGGTGTTTCACAAAGATCCTAAGATCAACTTAACTCTAAGTTGGACTTACAAATTACAATATGTTCAAAAGCGAAAAATCAAGTATTTTAGACTTTTCATTAATTACACATCAAGAACATGAAAGCTCCTTGATAATACAAAATATGAATGATTTGAATCAACATTTTATGCCTTTCAAAATAACTTTTACAAAATATTTTCAAATATGTTAACGGCTTTCCATAATTGTTAAGTCCGACCTAGAGTTAAGTTTGACTTGGGATCTTTGTGAAACACCCCCCTGGTGCCATAAAACTTTGATATCATTATACAACTTATAATATTAGCATAGCTGCCAACCATTCTAATTTTGGAGAAATGATTTCTTATTGTTTTTACCTCAAACTAACATTATGAACCCTAGATTCCTTTATTTTTCTAAAAACCTCTGTGTAAAAAGTATACAAAATGACTGTTTTCCTGCTTTTGCCGTAAAGGATTCCTAATTTTTGCTTTGAAAAGTTTGAAGAGGAATGTTCCTGTTGTAAGCTACTGAAATCTTTGCTTTGACTGGATTTGAGCAGATTTTTCCAGAAATGTGACACTTTTTATCAATGAAATGTTTCATGAATCAGGGCACAACTGCAGCTGTGAACTGCTTTATTTCTAATGATCTGGATTTAAATTTATTGATAAAGTGGACAATAATGTTGAAGGTCCTCAGACTCCTCACTCGACCTGTTCTTTATCTTGTTTTTGTTTTTTCTGCTCTATATTTATATGATTTATACACCGTAAATGCTGTCTTTTAAATTATTGTTTGATTTGTTTGATTTCACTGTATACTTCAATGATCTACATTTGCCACACTCGACCCAGGTGAGGTAAATGGGTACCTGGTAGGATTATTCCTTGAAATGCACTGTGCGCTGATAACGGTTGCCAGAGCCAAAGCTAGGGTACAGGGTAATAATTTCCAAAGCTCTTTGGAAGCGCTAAGGGACGTTATAACAATGTGATATGCACTATACAAGAACTTAATATTATTATTTATTTATTTTATTGAGTGAAATAGATATATAAATAAATAAAAGTATCTATTCGTGACTAAATAATTTTTTCTGACAATTGTTTTATGCGTTATAGAGTTTCATCCAGGAGAAGCTCAAGAAGATAGCTCAGGCAGCTAAGCTGAAAGGGAAAGGTCGAGGGCGTGGTGCTATCGGACCCAAACCACCCAAGGAACCCAGAGGCGGAGAGCAGAAGATGATGCTTCATCTCATCTGTAAATTTTACCTCGAAGGACGTTGCAAGAAGGTCAGTCCTTATCTCTCTCTTGCTTTATTATATACTTGACTTACCTACCCACTTACTTACAAGTCTCTTACTCTTGTATATACTAACTTACCTACCGGATTACTTACAAATGTACATACTTACTTAATTCCATACATGGGTGTTTCCACAAATATGGGGTCCATCTGTAAAGTTACCTTGAAGGATGCTGCAAGAAGTTCAGTCCTTATCTCTCTCTCTCTCTTACTTAGTTTTATACTTACCCTACCTACCTTATTACCTGTAAATGTACGTACTTACTTAATTTCATATATACATATTTACTTATTGATTTAATTCCTTGAAATGCTAGAGCGCTGTAATGGCAGCTAGGCTAAGGCAAGGGTTATAATTAGTGCGCCTCGGAATAAAATTTCTAAATAAACGACGCTATAGAAATGCTTATTATTTTTATTGTTACAGAGTGGGTGTTTTCATTGGAAAGCAAAGGCCCTTCTGTGAAACTGAATTTAATTGATTGTATCATATTCATTTGTTTTTCATTGCAGGGCGAGAACTGTACTTATAGCCATGATCTGACGCAGCAACGGAAGCAGGAACTCTGTAAATTCTACGTCAGCGGGTTCTGCAATAAAGGAGACACTTGCCTGTACATGCATGATATCCTTTCTTTTATTTATTCATTTAAATTTGTTTCCCGGGTCTCGTCTTATAAAGAGTGGATATTAAACACAACTTATTTGCGATTTATATCAACCCGCAACTTTGCACATAAGGGCCCTGTTGCATAAAACTTACCACTGATGGTAAGTTTGTCATCAATGGCATCTACCATGGTAAGAGGGCTCAACAGCCAATCAAAATCAAGGTTTTCATGGTAGTTACCGTTGATGGCAAAGTTACTATCAGTAGTAAGTTTTGTGCAACGGGGCCCAGAGAGAGGAGACTGCAAAGTTGCGATTGATTGGAGGACTTAAAGTGGCATGTTCCCCGTATTCCAGAGGGCGTTGAAAATACGTACCCGCTGGCGGACGGTGCTAGCTGCCTATTGACACCAACAGAATACGGCTCTTACGCAGATGGCATGTTCCGAATGCCCGCACAATGCCGATTATCGCATACATGTGCCGAAGTAATACCAATCGCAGTTGGGTTCTAAGATTTGGCTGCTGTTTCCGCCCACTTTCGTGATGTCAGGATCGGCAGCGATCAGCTGGCTTGACGAAGGCAGGCCAGGCCGTGCGTACTTTGATTGACAGCTGTATGCTAATTAGGAGTCGATCTTCGGAACCAAGATGGCGATGACTAGAGCAGCGATAACTACAATGGCGGGAATGTGCCCCTTTAAGATTGATTTCGATCAATCACAATTCTTTATAAGACGGGACCCAGACAAAATAAAGAGATGATTGGTACTACAAATGTATGGAAAGCTAAAAGAGCATCACAATTGATAACATTTTTCTAAATTAATTTTTGCCTTGAGTTTGAAAGATTGTTTTTTCATTTGATATTTAATCTCTGTTGTGATTTAAAGGCCTCTGTGATATTAAAGTTTTGCTGTCAAATATAAATTCTAATGAATATACAATTACTGTATAAGAGACTAACAGACGTCAAATGGCTTTGTGTAACTGTCACCATACACCACATTCATCCCATCTAAAAAAAAGAAAAAAAGAAAATGTGATGCTCTTTCCATTACTAACTTCATTCATTCTTGTCTTTGTCATTTTAAGACTAAAATTGATTATTTTGTCAGGTTGTATTCCATTTTTATTTACTTTTTTTGCCAGATAGGCTCTGTGTTTCTTGGTGCAATAACTTGCCATGTTATTGCACCAAGTAGCCGCAACTTGCCTCTCTCCTACCAATCCTCTCTCCAGACATAATTCCTTCCAGAACGACTTAAATGGAAACCCTTCGATGGGTTTCGCATCACAAAGGGGCAGCAGATCTTTAATTGTTTTTATTTTTGAAGAAAAAAAATTATTTTAATTTGCAATGGCTTTGATCAGAGGATAAGTTGTTTTTGGAAAAAGTTCTGTAAGACACAAGGGACCAGCCTTATTTTTCTAAAAGGAAGGTTTTAGTTTAGAGTCAATTCAAAACGTTGAAGAGATATGCACATGTAATTTGATGCACCTGTTTGGAAATTTTTATCTATATACATGTAGCTTTTAGGGTAGGAGAGAAGCAATTCATTGATCTTTTCCTTTTATTTATATAGTTTAGTTTATAGTTTTATTGTTCAATTTGTCATATCAGAGAAAAAATTAATTGATTATTAATCTATGAATGTGAATTGATAAGGTGGAGGCAAAGAAATTTACTAGTCCTCTAAATATCACATTTCCTTAACTTGGTCCCTTGTTGTCTCTTTGGGACTGTAGCCATGATAACCGTAGTCCAGAAAATTCTGAGGACGAAGTTGCCAACGATAGCGATAATTGGAGAAGAGGAGAGAGGATGGACAAGATAGAGAGGAAGGTTCATGCCGAGTCTGATATGGACCTAGCTAGTGACTTAGACCAGGATCTATGGCCAGAGCCTGGTCTACCCCCGTGGGTCCCAACCAAAGAAGATTTAGAGATTCAAAAGAGACTTTGGTGTTGGATGACACCTGACCAGTTAGCCTATCGTCCTGATCTGGTCCAGGAACTAGACACGCCCATTGGGTCCTGGTTCCGTGCCAATACCTCTAATATGTATTTAGATGCTTTGGAATTTGCAGAGTATTGGGTCCGCTATGAAATGACAAAGTTAAAAGATAAGAAAAAGAAAGAGGAGGTGGACTTAGATGAATCTGGTCTAGGGATGTGGGTCCCTGTGCAAGAATCCAAACCAGGTGACACGGACATTGATCCCAAAGCCATAGACCCTGATAGACCAGGACCAGGGTACCATTTCTATACCACCCCTGGTCCTGATAAGACCATTCTTCGTTGGGCCTATTTACCAAAGAGTGCCCTTCTTCATGCTCCTGATGTACCTTCCTTAACTCCCAATCTACGTGAGTTCCCGTGCAAGTACTATCACTCTGGATCTGAATGCTTCCAAGGCGACAAGTGCCGCTTCTCCCACGGACCTCTCAACCCTCACACAAAGATGCTCCTGGATAAGGTAGGGGTCCCATAATAAATTGATAATGTGTAATAAATACTGTTGGTTAAGGTGATGTGACAAACTATCATTTCCGAGGCTATCTGGGTGTAGCTATCTTTCCAAAGCGAAGCTGAAGAAAGATAAGATAGCGTATACATTCAGATCGCCGAGGAAGTGATAGTTTGCCATCGCCTCAAACCAAAAGGTGATTATTTGTTTTATATTCCACATCAGAAACATTTCACTTCTTCCGTCATTTTAGAGCAACAAGTCATCAATTAACAGCTAGCAAACGGTGTACAATGCAATCTTCAGTGAAAGTGCATTGCACTGTTTAGATAGTACTATCTACACAGTGTAACACACTTTTACCAAAGATAGTAGTACTATCTACACAGTGTAAAAAACTTTTCTTCTCCCATCAATGATGGGCGAACTTTCATCCCATGATTTACTTCTGACCAATCGTAGAGCAAGATTCTTAATATGTGGAATATAATGTGTAACGATTTGATGTAGCACACTGTTATTCATATATTTATGTATCAGACTCTACAGTTTCTACTATTTCAGACTGCTTGGTTTAAAAAGAATGTTTAAATGACCCTGTTTTCCTTCGTTTACTAGAAAGATACATATTTTCTCTTGGTAATTGATGACTTTGGCTATACCTGTAGGCACATATATATCTCTTCCTACCCCATTCGCTCTATCACTCTCCCTTTCATGAGCTATATACCTTCCCCTGCTCTTTTATATCTCCTGCTAGTGCATTATGTATATAAACGACCGCAATACAATTATTTGGTATTGTCATTATGTTACTCATTTATTTACTATATGCCTTGTTATACTATTGTACATGTATTATATACATAAATATATACTTATATACATCACTGTATTTTTTGTCAATTGACCCTTTCAGCTTTGTGCTGCTGGTCGATCTTTAAATAAATAATAAATAAATAACTATTTGAACATCTCTCATTTCAGTCCCTGTCCTCGTTTGAAGAGTACGAAGAGCGCCCCCGCTCTCCGTCCAAGACCAAGGGTCTCCTTCCCACCCCGAATGATACCAGTCACATACCGTCTCTGCTAGATATAGACGTTGAACCTCCTCAAGATAATGCACCCAGACAGTGAGTATCTATCTATCTTCACCATACTATCTTAACTCTTTATATTACTAAATCCGGTGACCCGGTTCGAAACCTAGGCGATGCGCTAGTGCCCTTTGGTAAGGCAATAGTCCTCATTACCAGGTCTCTCGGAGAGGACCTTACGCCGTCGGTCGTCTGGTTGCTTACTCTTAGCAGTTTTGCAAAATTATGTTTCTTAAATATATATATATCTTTTTCTCTTTCAATTTCCCAATGTTCCCTCAAGGATGTCCTTTTATGGAGCTGAGAATCCTGAATATGCCGAGCCCCAGCACCACGGTCCACCTCAAGGAGACTACCAAGAACACTTCCAAGACCACCAAGAACAACAGTTCCAGGACCACCAAGGACCTGGTCGATACCAGGATCAGTATCAACAGGACCAGTATCAGCAGAACCAGTACCAGCAGCAGGACCAGGATCAGTACGAGGACTCCTATGAAATGGTCAATCAGTTTGTGTCTCTGGCCCGAACGAACCACGACCAAGACCAGGACCAGAAACAGGAGTCTACTCCTCAACAGAGGCAAGAGCAACAGGAGATGGATTTCCACAGAGGCCCAGATACTACACCTTTGCCAAGCTCTCAAAGTGAGGACAACTCTGCAAATTCAGACAAAGGTTAGTCGATGGACAATCTCAAGGTCACCTTGGGGGTGTTTCACAAAGACTAAGATCAACTTTAAGTTGGACTTAACTATGGCAAGCCATTCATGCCACTATTTCCATCATCATTGGTCTCTTAATTATGATCTTTACAAAATATTTTTTTCCTTCAATAATGAATGATCAAAAAATATTAATTCAGTAGATTTGTGACCATGATTTTTACGTCCCTTGAGAGACCAATGCAAGTAAACATGTGAGCAAACATGGTCTGCCATGGTTAAGTCCAACTTAAAGTTGATCTTAGTCTTTATGAAACACCCCCTGTTTTTATTTGATTTATTTACCAGCAGCAATACATTCCATACATTTTATACAATAATTACATTATACAGGAAGAAAAACTATTGGTTGGTAAAAGGGGCCAGATAATAGCACATGTGCTAGTTGAGCCTAACCCCTTAAACAGCTATTAAAACAAAGTATTTTGGTACAGATCAGTTTAGAGAACTTAACAAAACAAAAAATAATGAATTTACTTCTATAATCGATACTTAGTAAAAACAAGAATCAGTACTCAATGTCTTACAATATACAAACTAATAATGTAAAATATGTCAAATATGTTTGCAACGTATTTTTTTTTAAAGTGTAAAGTGCCAAGTATCTAGAGCTCTTCTAGTGCTGAACCTTGAGAAGTATCAGTAGTCTTGCTCCTTCCGTTACAGAACTTCTATGTTGTTAAAATCTTTGATTATAGAACACTGAAACAAGAGAACACCAAATCATTTAGAGTCCACACCCACAAGAGATTTGTTTGATGTGATGAATGCCATTGCATGAATGCAGAGTGTTCTCAAGCCTTGCTGAATAAGATGATAGGAAATTAAAAAATTTAAGCAACTTGACGATAAGATACTTGTAAATTTCGAATGAAGTAGGGCATTTTTAAGGAAATACCTGAAAATGTGTTGACCACTAAATTTTTCCATTGTCCTAGGCTAAATAAACAAGCCAGTACCTGCCCTGTCCATGGATTATAAATACAAGATTTTGTTCCTCTTTTTCTTCTGCAGAAATCTCTTCAAGCGACTTCAATCCCCAAGATAGGAAGAGCTCAATTTCATCCCCTCCAACAGACACCAGTACTACATGTCAGTCCCCTCCCCAAGAAGAAATGGAACAATCCAGTCAACCTAACGACCCTGCCCCTGCACCACCGTCCAGTGCTTCCAGACCCACCCAGGGTGAACTGTCCCCTGAGCACTCACCACCCCCTCAAGGGCCTCCTGCAGGGCAGAAGCCAGAAACCAAGTCCATCCTTCCGTCGATCCCTGCAAAGCAGAAAGCACTGTTCATGAGGATTCAGCAGAAGCAACACGATGGGAAGTCAGGCAGCGACGTCAACTCAGAATCTGATGATAATAGCAAGCAAAAGTCATGTAAGTATATTCAACAATTTGAGACAGAAAATTTAAACAAAGAACTGAGCAAAAGTAATGTAAGTATATTAAAGGAAGTGGGTCGTCAGTTTCCATGTGCAGAAGGCCATAATTCGCTGACACCAGATTTTAGGAAATACAATTAATGTGTTTACAACCTGCACACAGCGAACCCGTAAGTCCATCAAGAAATATCCTTTCGGATCTCGGAGAGTCTTTGGGTAAGGGAAAAGTAAGGTAATGACTTTACCTTGTGGAGGAATGGAAAACCAACTAAACATACCTAAAAGGATAAAACTGTTTGTTTTAATGTTGTTAATAGTATTTTCAAATATATATCGATAGTGGTTTTAATGAGCCACGTTACTATTTATAAGCGAACCCCACGGAGCAAGTAAAAACTCAAGCAAGAAGGGATTGAGTCAATGAAGACATTGTGCCTCAGAGTGCTACATAAATGACATAAATCTTTAATTTCTGATAATTTGCAGCTCAAGACGAAGCCAGCTGGTATTCTAGCGATGAAGAGGAAGGATCAAAGAAGAGATCCAATAGTCGGAAGAAAGATGAGCCCATGGAGATACCACAGAAATCTGCAGAGCAACCTTCAGGTCCTGATGTTTCTACCGGTAAGGGTATGTCCACTGATGCTGTCAAGAAACTCACAGCCATCCAAATCCCAAGCGCTCTCGCCAATCTCTTCGCTGGAAAGTCCACAACCACGCCACCCACAAGCACTGGTAATCAAGTAACTTTTAATCTTCTTGATTTTGTCAAGAAGGGTCCCTCCACCAAACCTGCACCTCTCACCCCTACTTCTCCTCAGACTGAAATCTTGGACTCTCCCATGTCACCGACCAACGAGGAGGAGTTTAGACTGATCGAGTGTATTCATGAACCGGGTAGATCTGACCCTCGTGCAGGGAGGGAAAAGAAAGACAAGTCGGATATGCGTTTTAGAGAGTTTCATTGGAAGGACAATAAGTATTCCATAAATGATCCGGATGACCGGCCATCGCTGCAACCTATTGAATTGACCACACCAACTGAACTGAAAGGTCAGCTCAACTTTCCAAAGACAGCATTTCCTCCGTTTATTCCTGGTAATCAAATGGTCCAACCCAGCATGATAGTGCCACCAAGCCAAGGTCCTGTTGACCCTAGAATGAAACGAGATCCCAGGCTTGCCAGGATGCAGAGTGGCCCGGGTGGTCCTGATGATGGTCCTAATATGGGTCCTAAGGATCCACGTATGAACAGAGACCCAAGGTCTATGGCTCCAAACCTGCAAAACATGCCCAACATGCCCAACATGCCGGACATGGGTGGTAACAGCATGCCCCCTGCTCTCCTGCCAACCCCAAATGAAAGATTGAGACTCATGGGACCTAGACCTCCACTTCACGATGGACTTCTGCCCTTACCTCCACCGGGCCCTAGACCACCACTTGGGCCAATGCCAGGTCCTCCTTTCATGCAAGGACCAGGGCCTAGGGGAATGCGACCACCGTTTGGTGGACCACCTCCCCTGATGGGTGGGTTTCCTCAGGATATGCCTCCCCCAGACATGAACATGCCACCAAGAGGTCCACCTTTCCAGGGACCAGGGCCAAGAATGGGACCTGGGCCTGGACCTGGTCTACGTCCTCCGTTCCATAGGCCTCCTGGGATCAGGCAGATGTCAGACGGACTGGGTAACAGATTAGGCCCTCCGAACTTCCCAGGTGGTCCAGTCCAAGGAGATCAGGCAATGAACAGATTTAGAGGACCTGCTCCAAATGACCCTAGGTGTAATCCCAATGACCCAAGGGTTGCTTTGAAAGACCCTAGAAACCTTGATCCAAGACAAGCAACACAGGATCCAAGGGATCCAAGACAAGCCCCTCAAGAGTCAAGAGATCCAAGACTTGCACAAATCGAATCTCGCGATCCCAGGAAAGCTCCTCCTGCAGAGAGTCGTGATCCTAGGCTCATGAGGCAAATGAGCAGTCACAGCCCGGGAGGTGGGAGTCCTTCTCAGTCAGACAGCCTACCACCTCAAGATATCGATGAAAGGCTAAACATCCCAAAACTCCAGGATGTTGACCTTCGCAAACAACTGCCTGACCTCAAGGCCAAGCTGCAAGGATTCTCTATCCCTAAGCTGCAGAAGCGCTCTGGCATAGCGGAAGCTGACACGACTAGTGGAGACCTGGACAATTTGAGTAGCAGCGGTGGGATAATCCACAGGAAGGTCCCCAGTGCACATCATAGTCAACCGCAAGGTCTTACATCATTTGATGTTGGTGGTAAGACCAGGACTAATTTCCCCAGTGCGGATCAAAGGACTAAGAGCGGGAGGGACTCTCCTCAGATAACCCTCCAAATTCAGATCCCTGGCAACGGGGAGGGGGATGGTGACATGGCTGCAGCAATCGCTCAACTTGCGGATGAGCCCGAGATCCAACTCAAAGACATGTTCAAGACACAGGATCCTACAGCGTCTCCATTCTGCTGAGACCACATGACAAGGGTTCAGTGATACAAAGACGTCGCTCCATGTTTTGCCAAATTGAATATTGGATATCAAAATGTTCTGAAAAGACTTAACTCCACCCAACACCCCAATGAAGTCAATGGCTAGTGAAACATATAAACCACTTTTTCTCAAAATAGCCAAAATGGGAGTTACATCTTTGTGTCACTGGTCCTTCGATGTGATCTTTGCTGTTTCTTGATATAGCAGCCATTTATTGCAAGTACTTATTTCGCACCAGAGATTCATGCATCATTATGAAAGAAAATATAATTTATTATTATCAGAGGATGATTGTTGTCGTTGTTGATGTTTTATATATTATACAATTTAGAAATGGGCAAGATTGGCTTCATCACTAATGTGATATCAATTGTCTTGATGCCAAATTTTCATTTCATTCATTTGATATATTTTTAATTTGTTGACATACCCTAGCCATATGGAATATTGAGTTCTCTAATTTTTTTGTATTTCACAAATTTGTAGCCCTGTGAGTATATCACTTCACATCTATGTTCTGATGATGAAGATATACAAGACTGTTTTCTGATTTATTAATAGGATTGGTCCTCGTATGATCACTTTATAAGCTATTTGCTCCACATACATACCATGAATGCTTTGGATTTAGTTCACTTAGTATATCTTATTTAAGTAACTAGCATAGTTCTCTGCACACTCTGCTATTCAACCAGGGGGGTGTTAAACAAAGATCCTAAGTTTAACTTATCTCTAAGTTGGACTTAAATATTATGGAAAGCCGTTAGCATCTTTGAAAATATTTGTAAAAGTTATTTTAAAAGGCGTAAAATGTTGCTTCAAATCATTCATATTTTCTATTATCAAGGAGATTTCATGTTCTTAATGTGGAATTTATGAAAAGTCTAAAATACTTGAGTATTTACTAATTTTACCCTAAGGCTACAAATCACTCTCCATAATGTGTAAGTCCAACTTGGAGTTAGTTCGACTTAGGAATTTTGTGAAACACCCCCCTGCTGTAGCTCTTCAGCCAAGTGTAGCTCTTATAAGTAGAATTCAGTTAAAGCCATACTGTACTAGAAGCACTTCCACAAAATCCCCTCTAGCTCCATCTCAGATCAGCTGTAGCAGTATGGTCCTGTACCTCGCTGCTTCCGTAGCTGCATTGTTGGTTCTCGCATCGAGTCCTCTGTCTGCAAGAGTGAAATTAGGTTACTAACTGTTGGCAAGTTGACCATGAAATGGTGCTTTTCAATAAACAGTATGCTAAGGCAGAACGTCCATCAGTTCAGTATCGCTTAAAAGCCCCACTGCACCACGTATAGCTACTTGAGCCCTCTATATAGCAAACAATGCCTAATCGGTGACCATTGGTTCACCATGATCCTCTTTTTCTTATGGTAATTGACTGAGAGCTGATTTGATGAGATAAACACCTGTCAGTGACCTTGCAGGGAGGTCTAATCCCCCGGCAAAACTAGTACAGACCGGATTTAAACCAAGGGCTACTACTTTCGAAAGAAAAAGTATTGACTTTTCAAGAACCAAACATTATTTGAAAATTATTAGAACATGTCGTCCCATTTGGCCTTCAAACTTACTGGAATCTAAGCGAAATATTTCTTAAATCCAATTTTGACTTTTGCATACAAGTCTTACAATTACATGCATCATTGTAAAGTTATAGCTCTTTTGATGCTTTTTTCAAAGGAAATTATAGTTTTGATTCAAAACGTCACTTGCTACTTTTGTAGAATTGTAGCAAGAAAAAGATAGAGAGAGAAAAAAAGTGTTATGAACACTTTTTCTGTTCAGTTTTATTGATATTTACATTGGTATGTGAGTATTTGTGTGGAATTTTTGGCCTTAGTTAACATTCTTTTTTTTTACTTAGCATTCCACAATGACCACTCCTCTAATGATTTATACAGGCACCTTAGAGGAGATGCTTGATGACATTTGTACACCTATAAGCCCAGGGGGGCATTTCACAAAACTTGTCATCAGTGACAAATGACAGTTTTTGTTATAGGCTAGTGAAATCCTTGCTTCTGATTGGTTATCAGCAGATTTGTCACTGAGTTTTGTGATTTGTCATTGAAAAAAGGCTTTGTGAAACGCCCCCCCCCCCCCCCCACCCAGGAGATGAAGGTCTGAAAGCAAATGTGTCAACAAAAAACAAAAAAGTAAAATGAGTCTAATTCAAGAAGTACATGTATAAGTCCTGGTTCAGATATGCTTTGGTAAACTGCAGCATATCCCTTTAATGATGATATTTTTGTAATATGCTTCGCATTTCTGTTTATTATATTAACGTAGAGCTCGTCGAATACGCTGAAGACCTTTGCTGCACGCAGTTGACATTTATTTTCACAATTTAAGAAAACAAACTAAACAAAAACGCTGCAGTTTCCTCCTCATACTCGTATCTGAATAAGCTTTGTGAGGCAACAAATATTTTGTGTATCTGTGAATGTAAGTATTGAGTGTATATAATTCAAAGTAAAAGATTTGTACAGTGTATTAATGCCAGCAAGGTATTTTGCCGCCAGATACTCATGTTGGTGAGTCGATGGTGTAAAGAAAATATGCAGAGTCGGACTTCCCTCATGGATGTTGTTATTTGTATGTATCCTGTTATGATAGTGGATGCTTCCTGCTTTCGTGTTATGTTGTACTAAGATTAGGTACCGTGGATCGTACCATTTATTATTAGGTTATAAGAGAAATTATTTGCTTTTGTCATTGCTTTATGAATAAAATACTATGAAACTTGCCAAAATTAAATCAAACTTACCTTTTCTTTCTTTTACTTATTTCTATAAACATTTAGAGTTTATGTCAACAATGATCTGATATATAGCAATATGATGTGATTTTGTTTTAAACTATAGATGAATATAGATACCAGACGGTATTCAAAACATCCCCCCCCCCCCTTCCCCTTCAGAACTTCAGTCCTTTTGTGATTCAAAAAGACAATGGCAATTTAAAATTGAAATTAAAGGATGTATATTGAAGGGCCACTCACCAATAGCCCTTATTTTTCTATTATTTTCTTTTTTTTCTCCTTCTTTTATTTTTTTTCTTTTCTTCTTCTTCCACTGCTTCTTCTTCTTCGGCTTCTTCTTCTTCTTCTTATTCTTCTTCTTCTTCTCCTTCTTCTTCTTCTTCTTCTTCTTCTTCTTCTTCTTCTTCTCCTCCTCCTCCTACTCCTACTCCTCCTTCTTCTTCTTTTTCTTCTTCTTCTACTCCTACTCCTCCTTCTTCTTCTTTTTCTTCTGCTTCTTCTCCTCCTCCTCCTTCTTCTTCTTCTTCTTCTTCTCCTTCTTCTTCTTCTTCTTCTTCTTCTTCTTCTCCTTCTCCTCCTCCTCCTCCTCCTCCTCCTCCTCCTCTTTCTTCTTCTTCTCCTTCTTCTTCTTCTTCGGCTTCTTCTTCGGCTTCTTCTTCTTCAAGTCATGTGTCCCATTTGCCTAATTGTATGCCCTCGCGTCTCAATCAATTTAATTTGGGTGACAAGCGAATGGCTGTATTAAAAATTAAAAATGTAAGTTCCTATATGACATTGTCATGTATTCAATCTGAAAATATCAACATTTAAGAGATTTATTGGCAAAACAAGGGAAAAGGCGGACTTGAATGCTAAAAATGTTTGTTGAAACTATTTGTATTGGCATGAAGATTTCTTCTTTGTGAACTTACTTTTTTTCTTTTTTCTTTATTTTCTTAACCTAACTTTTATTTCTTCTTCAGCGTCCTGCTTGCATTTGTCCTATTTCTTCCTCTATCCTTTTTTCCTTCTTTTCCTTTATAGGCCTACTTCTTAAATTTTAGCTGAAGACTAAAAAAATGCCCGTTAAGTTAGATCTCGACCTCAAAGCATTTCCAGCAAAAATGAAGCTCTATTTGTCCTTCTCCTCGTTTATTTATTTATTCATTATTATCAATATTATTATAAGTATTATTGTTGTTATTGTTCTCGATCTTCTTTTTTCCTCAGGTAACTTTAGTTTTAAAGAAACTGCTTGTCATGTCGTATCAGGACTATAGAGATCCTATCAATAGATGGCGCTTCAGAATAATGGGACACTAAAATTAACCAGAGCCATCTATACACAGAGTTTGGCCAACCCGGTTCGAGTTGATCGAGTCCATTCCTAGATCCTCGCAGTGTATAGATATCAGTGGCACATTTGATCACATCCATCACCAATTTCGTGACAATTATTGACATCTATTAACTCTTCCTCTTTCAGCGATGATTATTAATGTTGCTTTGTCTGCAAAACAGTAATGTTGCGTAGGCCTACCATCAAGGAATTTGTGAAGTCTATTATAGTCCTTAATTAGTCTTCGGGGGCGGGTGGAGGGGGGTGAATTAAAGTTATAACATTCATTTTGTTATAATTTTTTTCTTCAAGAAACTTCTATAGACATTGAAGGTCCATCCCTGTAATTAGACTGCAAGCATCAAATAATCCACCAAACCCGCACCCCTCCGCCCCCCCCCCCCCCCCCCATTTCCCCATCCCCCCCCCCCCCCTCTCTCTCTCTCTCTCTCTCTCTCTCTCTCTCTCTCACACACACACATACACACACTTTCTCACCACTTTCAGACCCGGTTTTTGTGATCGAGGCTAGAAACTGATAAACGCAGCTGTTGTCCTTATTAAAAAGTGGAAACCATTTTTAAGCTTGCCTCGTCATGAAATGTGAGGCTCATTCTTATATCGATAAAGTATTTAATTCATCAATCCAAAGGGAATGCAGTCCTGAGGAGAATCGATTGAAGCGTTATCTACAAAGAATAAATCAAAGGCTTAATTGGAAAGAAGACAAAGTAAAAAGAAATATTATTCAAAATAATGTTATAATCTCCAATTCCAATTAGTGTAAGTTACGCAAAAACCTACCCCCCCCCCTTTTTTTCCCTTTTCTCTCTCTCTCTCTCTCTCTCTCTCTCTCTCTCTCTCTCTCTCTCTCCCTTCCTCTCTTGCTCTCTCCCTCCCTCCCCTTTTCCCTTCACCGCATCTGTCTCCCCCTTCCCATAGCCTGATAGCAGCTCGGTTCGCGCAGATTTCAAGCTACCCCTAACAAGTCGCTTCCGGTTTTTTGGCCATCAATTCCGTGAGTCAGAAGCATGAGGGAAGGGGCTACGTCAGAATAGTTTGTCTCTTCGTTTCTCGTGCTCTTTCCTGCAGCCAACCCTAACTCATATAATATAGCCTAGACTGCAGCCAAACCCCCGAGTAAAAAGCTCGACTCAAGATTATAGCTGACTGCATGCACTGGCCTAATAGGCCTAAGGCTATTTCATACTCATAGTGGACGACAGAACGAGTTTGACTTTGAGTTTGAGTTTATTGGTTTCACATTTCACACGCAGATTCAATGCATATAACAAAATACGTAAAAGACATATTGTTTCATTTATATTTAAAAAAATGATTATAGTTAGTGACAAATTAATCAGACTAAAAAATTATATATCACCAAGTTTGTTTGACAACTACCAAATATGTTTGACAACTATTATCATGTTAAAGGAAACCCAGACAAAAAAAAGTACAACTGTGAAACCGATGCAGGACTCATAGCTTGTAATGGTTTGTATAATGTTATGGTTTAATAAAATACTGAACCTGGCAGCCCGTAAGCTGAACTAGTTTCGAAAAGAGAGAGAGAAGAAGAACAGTGAGAGGAGAGGAGATCAAGAGAAGAGGGATCGAGAGGAGGATAGTGAAAAGAACGAAGTAAGAAGTAAGAACTAGGTGAGAGAGACTGAGAAATTAAAGGAGGGAAGGAGAGAAAGAGAGAGAGATATATATAATTATTGAAGTAAGTATATAAGCTCATAGTGCCACATTATAATCATTCATTTATTGAAAAACTAAAATACAATCAACATAATTATGAAAAAATGAAAATGTGCATAGAAAAATTGCATATAAACTTGTATATCAATACATCAATCTATGTCATTCACACCCTTACAAACTTTTGTGAATTGTGGAAAATAGATTTCTTGAGAATGTAGATGATAAAAGCGTCAGTATTGTAATGATCAATAACATAAATGCTTACTGAGCAATTACTAATGCACCCTTAAATACATTAATGACTGCATACAAGTATTGTATATAATTACCATTGATAAATTAATAATTGAATGTGCCATTCAAACTTGTCACTCAATAAAGTCAAGTGTATAAATTAAATTACTAATTCTAACTGAAGGAATGAATAGACGATAATTACTTCTAATTGCCAATAAAAATGAGATTAATAAGACAAAGAGGTCTAAACTGCATGAACGATTAACGGTTAAAAGAATAGCGTCTGAAGTTGTCTGACGAATGAAAAACAGTGAGTGCGAGGTAAAAGACTTAATGCGAGTTACTATGCAAAAATGAACAGGGCCCATTAGAATTTTCAAAATGAATGAAACTTGTTAATATGAATCAATCAGAATATATAAAAAGCAGGAATAAACGAACTCGTGTTTAATTTCTTTTTTCTTTTTTTTTTTCTTCAAATCTATACCCATTCGAATAGCTATTCTTCCACACGAGGCTTTAAAGGTGTATTATCATTATTAACACAATATTGATGAACAGATTAATAATGGTCTTGGATATTTTATGAACGTATATTTCAAAGAACGAAAATATAGCTGAACTTAATAATTAAATGAAAAGCGACGAATTGTTAAACAGGAATGGTGACGTGGGTCAACAGAAGAAAACAAAATGCATTGATGATTAATCAGTTTTTTCTGAATGTTGAAATACTCAGCCGAATAGATTACCAATGAATAAAAGGTGAATGACAAAAAAGAACGCATTTCATGATAGGTCCCATTAGTGTGGATACAGAATGGCGATTGGGATCGACAGATTAAAAACAAAAATACCCCAAGTCCATAAACATGTTAGTATAAATGTTGAAAGGTTATGACGGATGGCAAGGAGCGGATCTAAGAAATGGGATGGGGCACAATACCAAAAATCTCTGACAAGCAAAAATAAAGACAACAAGCGAACAAACAAACAATAATAAACAAAGCAGAACAATCCAACAGAAACAACAATACTAAACATAATTATAAGCAAACATAAACAAACAGATTGCAACACCAAACCAAATAGTTTACTCTCCAATTGGTTAGGGAATTTGCGTATAATGTTTTGGTTTGTTGTTGCCCTTTTTTTCTTGGATTACGATAATTATTGAATGATGTACTTTAAGATCCATGCTCCATTCCACTTCGTCATCATACGTGTCGACTTGGCAGCGGAACCTCGAATTATCACAGCCATCGCGATTCAGTCGGCTTGGCCTAGCTATATACGCAGTCGACTTAAACGAAGAGTGAAACTGTGAAAGGCAAGAAAAGCCAAAGATAAATATCTGTCAAATCCTCTATAACAAGAGTAGGTCGTCTTCGAGTGACTTTAGCTCAATCTTTCGTCTCCTAGCGGACCTTGGAGAGAGAGAGCGACCCCAACAGTTTTAAGCACTTTTTTCGAACCAACATAGGACAAATATTGGAGAGAAAAGTGAAGATAAATATCTGTCAAATCCTCTATAACAAGAGTACGTTTTCTTCGAGTGACTTGATCTGAGCTCAATCTTTCGTCTCCTACAGCGGATCTTAGAGAGAGAGAGCGACCCCAACCGTTTTATGCACTTTCTTCGAAAATTTATCGTACCAAAAGGAAGATATTGGAGAATTGGAGCATACGACGAAAGTTTTAATTCTGGTGTGAAGGATATTACCTGGTGATAATCATGACGTGATATATTTTGCAGGGATTTGGACATCAGCTCACGACTCGAGTGAAAAGGTGTTAGGCGTTCTATAATCTGTGACTAATCAATGGACAGTCGGATATTTTAATGTTCTAATTCCCTTTTTACAAGTGCTAAAGTTCAATTTCTTTATTCACCTTGCGTCATGAATTAAAAAGGGGAACATTCAGCCTACTACCCGCGTAATTAATCTACACAGAGAATGAACGTTTACTTCGACATTGAAAACAAATATTTGGTCATGAACGACAAGTATTATTTTAACAGTCAATGTTTCTCCATTGTAAAAGTGCAGGGATTTACGTGAGGAAACGGTCTCGATCCGTTACATGTTGGCAAAAAGTTTAGTCGGAAACATTCGTGGCATTCTGTGAAGATGGCTCAATGCCACTATTCGTTGAAAGCCAATAAACCTCGATACTTTAATGGATTAAGCACATAACGTTGCATCTATCACTCTGGAGTGAGTCTAATTCACTGTGCATTGTTTTATTCGACTTTCATTCGTTGAGTTTGGATATTGCGATTGATTTGATTTGTGTTGACTATCATTCATAATTATCCATCATGGATTATAACTGAGGATTTATCAACACCATCAGCATAACTCGGCTCGTTACCCTGTGGTGAGTAACACTGTTACTCTATGTCTATCGGCATGCATTTTGGTGACAAGATACACAATTTTGAAATCTTATGGCCACGGCTGGTGCAGTCTGTCGCTTTATAAACCAATAACAAGTATACTTAAAATTGTTATGTGTCATGTATTTATTCTTGTTTTGATAAAGATATATGTGTTTGGTTGAGGCTTAGATTATAGTAGGTCTACAATGGGATAGTTAGAAATATAATGCTAACATACCTATCTGATGATATATATTATTTGTAAGAGACTATAGTAAAAGCAGCTTTTTCGAAAGAAAACTGTATATTGCTAATCATATAAGCCTGGGCCTTTTTGATCGCGCAAGAAAATTGATGCGACATGAAACGCTTATCATTATGATTATTATCATTATTTTTATTATTATTATCATTACTATTATTATTGTTATTGACATTATTATAATAACAATAATTATTATTATTATTAATATACCTATTACTACTATGATTATTGTTATTAATACTATATCATCATTGTTATTGCTCTTATCATTGTTGCCAATATTTTTATTATTATTACTCTTATTATTATTATTTTTGCTATTATTATCATTATTATTATTTACGCCATTATTATTATTTACGCCATTATTACTTGTTCTATAATATTACTATGATCACCATTTCGTGGCGTAGTGTCGGTCCACCATCATCCGGGAGGGGGGGGGGGGACAAATATCAAGTGGACAAATGGAAAAGAACAAGGCCATACAATTAGGGGGTTGGTTGGGAGGGTCGTAGGTCTATTTATTTCCTTTATTAAAGTCGCAATTTCCCGGTTTCACTTTTTTACCCTATATATATACCTTTTTCTAATTTTACCTTCTCATTTGGGGCGCAAGTCCATGTGCCCGATAAAAAAATGTCTTTATATCCATTTCTTGCCGCCCTCCTGTTGTGTGCACTTCGCTCGTTAGCTCGTTGGCTCATATATATATTATATTTCTAGATTAAACGTAACTTTAAATGGATATATTCTATTAAAAAAGGAGTAGGCCCAAACACAATCTGTTTGGACCGTAAACATAACTAACCTTGATGTCCTTGAGGAGGGGCCAGATGCTGGAGCCCGCTACGTTTACTCCCCCCCCCCCCCCCCATTCCTGATTATAAAGAAGTTTAAGCGACAGAGGAACATGAAGAAAATAAATGGAAGTATCCCTAAAATGATAATAATAATAATAAATAAATAATCATCTTGTGCGTATGCCTGTCTCACGCATTGTTCTCTTTCTAATCTTCTTGAGGTGGCTTATTGGTTCTTCTTTTTCTTTCGTGTTATCTTGTAATCAATGATGTACCATCATCACCTTCCATTAATATATAAATTATTCTCTTTCCAATCTTCTTTCAGGTTGGTTCTTGGTTCTTCTTCTTTCTTGCTATCCGATAATCAACCATCACCCTGGAACCCAAACCAGCCGAAGAGCAGCAGACGTCATCCTCTACGCCTGCTGTAGCTAGGATGCAAAAAGGTAAGTGTTCCTCGAATAGGATGGATAATGATAAATCGCATATAGTATGAAATCCCCATTCTGTCTCTGTCTCTCTCTCTCTGTCTCTCCATTCAGATATAGGATTAAAAAGGGTAAGTGCTCAAATAGTATTTAATCCCCATTCTCTCTCTCTCTCTCTCTCTCTCTCTCTCTCTCTCTCTCTCTCTCTCTCTCTCCCTCTCTTCAGCTATATGATTAAAAAGGTAAGTACATAACTCTCCCTCGAAGAGGATATATACTCCTGTATTTTTATGCCGCCTGTTTCACGTCTCTCTGACTCCCTATCTGTAGCTACAGGATGCAAAAAGGTAACAATGGCCTTCGGATAGGAGGGAAAACGATAAATTCCATAATATAAATAAATATTCCTCAATTCCTGCGCCCCCCCTCGATTTCCGCCCCATCTCTTCTCTGCGGCCGCAATATGTTGTTACACTCTTTGTAAAATGAGATATTGTGGAAACCAGTAAACTATCTATCTATCTAGCTATAGCTAGGATGGCTAATAGCATTTATGACTGAAAGGCTTTCAAAATACAGAAACTTCACATTCTGATGATTTAGTTAACTTTCCTGTATTCATTGTATTAACAAAGCATTTAAAAAAAAAATTATTTGTGTTGCTTTATTTTATTGTAAAATTTTATTATTATTATGAGAGGCTATTACAATTTTTATTATTGTAGGGGCATATATTATATAGGCCTATCTGTGCATGTGATATGTGCACATACACAAACTGTTAGGAGTACATCAGATGCCCCTTTTCTACACCGCAAAAAAAGATCTGGAGAATGTTAGAATATATAGACTTTCGATGTATATTACAGATATTTTCCGTCAAAATTAAGGGCCCCTTTTTTGGACACCCCCTCCGATTGAGGGGTGCCCGCTACAAACGAAATAAAAAAACACCTCTGAAATATTGTGTATTCTGATAAAAAAAAATCTGTCGAATAAACAGAGTGTGGTTATAGAGTTCGTGTGGAAGTGTCAGACAAACCCCTCTTTTCTGACTACACGTACGGGCTAATACGGCCCTCTGAAAAATGCAGTGGACGACTCGAAAACACATTATACTAGGGCCGAGTTTGTAGTTTGCTGAGTCAACTTCTATTAGTACACTTGCACTATACAGAGCGGTGTCTAAACGAAATACAAGGGGGATCAGCGAAACTTCGTAGACAATAACACTGCAAATTTTCTGCATTGACTTTGTACATGGCTTCCTACTGTGCTCTGACTATATTATCTGATGTCTGATATTTCTCGTGATGAAAGAACGAGTTCTAACTGAGTAAGAAATCACATTTTTATATGCTGATATAGTTCTTAAGATTCCAGTCGTACAAGTTCATTAGTATTTGCATGAAATTCGTTCTAAAAACTATATTTTTCGTAAGAAGCTGTATAAAATCGTGTTGACATTCATCATTTTCATGCACTGGGCCGGGGAAGCCCTTTCTTGTTTTGCAGGTCAGAAAGACTATGTAAAATCAATGCCCGAATTGGGTTGATCCGACCGTCAGTGATGGTCTTGAGTGTTACTAATGTATGGCAATGCATGTAAGACGTTATTATCATGTCTTTTAATCTTTTATGATTATCTTGAAATCTGGAAATGGGTAGTTTAGATCGAGGAAGAAAAAATAAAATAAAACATCACTGAGTGATTGACACTAGATCTATTCGTCACTGACCATAATCAGTAGGGGCACTGGTCCGAGAATAAGGATTGTCTGCATAAGGGGGGAGCGTCTTCGTAAACGCGACCATACGCTTCTCAAAAACTAAGTATCGTCTGCATTTTCGCAGACGTTTCTGATTTCCGATACGCACGTTGGTGATGCGAAAACAGATGATTTTCTTGATGCATTATTAACTTTGTACAGAGACTATCATGTTATGAGCAATAAATCCTCGGGAAGACGGACAACCCATAAAAGTAGAGGGTCAACTAGGGGTATTTTATTACACGGAATCTGTTTTTCGCATCGTCCAGGGCGCGCTTCAGGAACACGAAACCCGCAGAGCGTGAATGTAAAAAAAATGTCAGCGAAAATGTGGATGATCCTTATTTAAGATGCATTTTGCTGCATAAAGCCTTGAAGATATCCTTTTTTATGTGGACGATATTCATTCTCGGACCAGCACCCCTACTAGTCACTGATGCATTAGGCTGGGGGCGTCATATTGCAATAAAAAAAGGTTTCCATGTCTTCGCACTTGATCACATAACTAATGGTACAGGATTTTTGACATGGCATTTTGATGCTTGTGAATAATTTACTGAAATTCGACTTTTCACATGAATACTTTTTACTTGTTTTTAACACAAATATCCATTGTTGTACACGTGAAAATTTTGTGTTCATTGCATGGTTTGTTGTATTAGAATCATGCATTTACATGAAGATATATGCGTAGATACATGTAAATTTGTACCTGTAAGAGCGCTGCACAGGTAAAAAATTAATTAAAAAAATTGGGGGGCTACTTTTCAAGCTTGCTTACATGAAAATAACACTCTGTAATTTGTTTTGCATTGAACTCTATGCACATTTTGGGGGCTCTTTTTTTACTTTTGGGGGCTTTTTTGGGCATTTATGGGGCTAATTTGCCCTGAGCCCCCGTGTAATTTTTCCCTGGCGCTGCACAGACATGGGCACTCTGGCCATACTTACAGTACATGTATTAGCTGAGACTGAGAAGTTAGAGTGCTGAGAATTTAGCTTAATCGACAAGAAAATATATCCATGAGAAACGGGTGTAACTACCCCCCCCCCCCCCCTCCCACCCCCTGGAAAAATTGTCTCTAGAGGTGTCAAGAAAAGCATCTTATGATGAAGGTTCCAAACAAAACTCTCCTCTGATGAAATATCACATACTAATTCTGTATTGCTGGAACCTTCTGCTTCCATCTCGCCGACTTTAAACCTTGATTCTTGAACTTTGAAATGATAATTCCTTTAATGGAAGCTCTCTCGAGATGATGGTATGCTGGCATCATTGCTAGGTGCCATGAGGAAGTGAATAATGCCATAGTTCAGTAAATACTTGAATGATGTTTCCTTTTTCATTTAGACAGTTGTTACCATCGATGAGGCCTTCTCTTGAATAAACAACCCCTGAATTTCGTAGTAAAGACCCTATTGCCTCTGGAAGCATGCCCCAAATTTTTACCATCACTACGATTTGACTTCCACTTCCAACCATCTTCATGTAACTCCATAAAGAAAACAATCTCAGCCTGACAGGTTAAGTGAATAATGCTATAGTTTAAAGTTGCTCAAGCTTGGGTATATAGAGGGCAGCACACTGAGCCAACGGGTATTACGCTCTCATGCGAACTAGTGTCCTTGATATGCGTAGGTCCGTACAGGAGCGTAAAACTTGATGACTCAGAGTTCACCAAGTTGCCTACTTCACGAACGACTATACTGATGCATGAACATCTTTGATAAACATTTGTATGACTTTTTTTGTTCTTTCCCCACCCAGCCCTGCGAAAGCTGCATAGCGTGGCCAGCATGAGCCGACCTGCGGCCAATGGAAAGGCTCGAAGCCACACCCCTACGACCAATCAGGACCTTGCCAGCCTGTTTGAATGTCCGGTATGCTTCGACTATGTACTACCACCCATCCTTCAGTGTCAGAGCGGCCATTTAGTCTGCTCAAATTGCCGACCAAAACTCAACTGTTGCCCCACGTGTAGGGGCCCATTAGGTAAGATATAAGTTATTATTTATGTACCGGTATGTACCATATTTGCCGGCGATAAGGCCGCACCGCCGCATAAGCTGCACCCCAACTTTGACATTTCAAAGAGAGAAAGAAAAAAAACAGGAAAAAAAAACCAACGGACAAAACAAAATAACCGTAATTTTCTCGTAAAACACTATTTTTGTTCTACAAACTGATACCAAATTCATCAATATTCTTATAATTTACCGGAAGTTTAGCTCAAAAAGTGATCGAGGGCAGATTTGGTGTCCGATATATACCCCTACCACAATGTACGGTGTAATGCGAAACTGCATGAAATGGAAAACAAAATGGCGACTTCGGATGGATGCTTCACGGCAGCTCCATTAGATGGTCCCTTCCTTTACTTCTGCAATGCATTGGCGCGAACTTAGATCAAGATCTATCGGCAAATGTTGGTTTAGCAATTTATTTTCGTATTCATGTCAATATTGCAAGATAAAATTGTCGGTAAGATGTGTTGTAATGTCCTGTACCATAGTGGTATAGTTATTGTACCATTCGTAGTCCCATATGTGCAAATTCGTGCTGATTTTGACTTGATTTTAAAAAAAAAATTACTCTTTCGCCGTAAAGGCCGCACCCCGACTTTTTGATATTTTCTCTTCCAAAAATACTGCGGCCTTTACGCCGGCAAATACGGTACATGTATAATATACAATGAAATTTTACCATGCAATTAAAATGCATATTTTCCCGGTCTGCAAACTGGCAGTTCCAAGAGGGCAATATTTATACACTGTATAATATTGGATGGCTTCGAGTGTGATACAATCAAACAAGAATATATTTTCAAAGCGAGAGCAATATATTCTTATTCTTGTATCACACGAAAAACACAAGCCATACAGCATTATCATTACTATCTATATCAGGCTGACTATCGAAATAACAAAATTCAATAATCAAGCAATAGTGTATCGACAGATGAACTTCCCGGATGAACTTCAATACGAAAACAACAGCATAATCTGTCATCCGGTTACTGCGCTAAAGATATAAAAACACACTGATTTATGTACCACTTGGAAGCCTCATATAATTCCTGATATTTTCACTCTTTTGGGTTTCACGATTGATTTTGTGTACAAAAATTGTGGTCAATATTCAGCCCAATACATATTGGTCCCATTTAACATCTGGGACCTTCCAAGCCGCTGAATCGCGTAAAGTTTGAGCAGACTAGCAGATCGTGCCGCACGGTATAGTGACTGTATGGTACCCTTTCCTGATTCACAAAGGAATAGGTCAAATGATATTGACTGGCTTATCTTTCAGTAAGGGCAATATTTCCTGGTATCTCCCTCCCTCAAGGCCCGTCAATAGTTATCTACTGTGTAGCTTTGAGGGGCTCATTAGGTAAGAAATAGTGCCAAAGTCACAGTTCCGAACAGACTCCAAAGTGAACGATTCTTGGCCTCTCTTTGCACTATAATATTTTCCCCTGTCTATACTCTGTTGTCACTATTCTTGGTGTTCCCAGGATATGAATAATTATTATCTTTATTAGGCTTCCAAGTGGTACAATAAATCGTTGTATTGAATATCTGTAGCGCAGTACCCGGATGACTGATCAATATTGTTTTCGTATTGCTCAGTCATCCGGGAACTTCAACTATCGATATCGATATCACACAAAAACAAAGCCATTTTTAAGGAGGTAAGTCAAATTTCAAATGTTGCTAGTCAGCCTGATATAGATAACAATAATATTATGGCTTTGTTTAAGTGTGATACAAGAATATATTGCTCTTGCCATGACAATATTGGACTTGTCTCAGACTCATTCAATATTGTCATAGCTTGAGCAATATATTCTTGTATCACACTCAAAGCCATCCAATATTATGTAAGTATCCATCATCCTACATGTACTTGTAGGGGCTGACAATGTAAGAAACAAATAAGTATCGTTTTCCCTACACACTACTTAATAATATTGGATGGAAAATTATATTTATTTATTTTAGCCACTTATAGGGCCTTTTTATTTGTATAATTAATGTATTTATTAATTTATTTATTTAATTATATGTCACTAAGTTAATAGTCCATTCAATAAAAGTTGGTCTTCCATGGGGTCCTGACAATACATCACAGTTACAATGTACACTGTATACGGTATACAGTTCACAGATATAATAAATCAGAGTATCGTACTGTACATATTACAGCAAATAGGATATTACACATTGCAAACGAATTCAATGAAATTGTACAAGTTAAAACATATTGAATTCATATCAATATCAAAAATGATGCAGGAAAAGATTATCAAATAACAAATATATATCGATAGATTTGATAGATAGATATGTATTAAAGAATGAAACTCCATTATTGTGTGGGAGCACAAATTAATGCAAAGTCACTGTGAATGTGTACTCCACATACGATGATGTCATCAAGTATTAAAGATAAACTTGAGTACTGGTAATGCGATTGCATTGTGAAAGAAAAGGTGTGGAATGGATCAGAAAAGTTGATCATATAGCATGTAAGTAATGGTGTGTAATGCAAGGTTTTAGAGTCATCAAAATCATCATAAATTTGGCAGAGTCTTGGTAAAGTAACAATCACTTACACAGATAGATGTATATGGGACAACACACATGGTGTCGGGGCTAGTACTACCCTGATTTCCTTATCTTTCTATGCTCATTACTCAGCCAGTATACATTTTTTTCCAAAATTGTTTGGCACATGACATTTATTTGTAATCTTGAACATTCAGTGTAAGTTTCGTTAGATTCTGTGAGAATTCATTTTCTTTTTTTACCAGAACTCAAGTTTATCTTTAAATGTAGATACATGTAGCTAGTCTTTCTAAGGTCAACAACTTCGGATTTTCAAAGCTTTAGATTTTGAGTTTTCAGAGAGCTGATACTCCTCTGACAGACACTCAAATGGCATATACAGTTAATTGATATTATTGTAATCTACATGTATGGCTTATAAGCTTTCTGTTGATTCATCTATTTAATTTTTCACTTCCAACAGGGTCTTTAAAATAGGCCTTAAGAAATTAACTTTTTGTTCCCAGTCCAGTAGTATTTGTTTCAGAAGTTTAGATGACAGGGCTTTTAACATGTACAATGTATCTAACACATGACCAGTCCCCTCCCAATTTACAATTCTAAAGAAATAGATTAATCGAAAGGAAATAATGTAGATAGATACATAAGTGAATAAATATACCCTGTATTAGTAAATAAATTAATGAATAAATACAATAAAGAAAAAAAAAGTACGTCTTTGTGAAGTGCCTCAGTGATATGGATTATTTCATTCATCTGTAACAAATAATTGTATTTTAATAGAATGCGAATTGCATACATTAGGCATTGTACCAGGTAGGACAAACACAACACTTAATGTATACATTTTGACATTCTGACTATTGAAATAATAATAATAATAATAATAAATTACATTTATAGAGAGCTTAATACAATGTTTCTAAGCGCTTAACATACAAATAAGGTACAACGTAAAATGAACATACAGCAATAATAATCATAATTCTGATGATAACATTACAGATAATTATAAACTGCCCTATAAATTACTATTACCGGTAAACAAAAAATACTTCAAACTTGCCTTAAAAGACTCTACAGATGGGGATTGACGAATAATAATTGGTAAACTGTTCCATAATTTAGGGTCTGCATAGGGTTACAATAATCTAAATGGGAAGTCACAAAAGCGTGGATCAATCGTTTTGAGACAGTTTGTCTGCAGGTGAATGAAATATTTGTATTGAGGCACTCCACAAAGACGTATGAATTGATTTTGGTTACATTACAAAAATGGTCTATTGGATAGATAAGAATACATGTACACACACAATGAGTCATCATTTTGTGGTCTGAGCTATTTTTAAACCATATCGTAATAATATTTAGAATATAAGGGCATTTTAGGAGCAGTCCTCTTTAATGGGACAATGCTCATGAAATTCCTCCACGTAAAGTTTATTAATCATAATAATGAGGAAGTACACAAGGAAGTTTTCACCTTTTACCTGAATTCATACATGTACATAGATCTGTAACATTTGCACTTGTGCAGAAAACAACCAAATCATTTATACCCTGTTCAAACTATATGATTGCTGTGTGCTTCGTATAAACTCAAGAATGAAAGGTGGCCTTTGTTACATACTTTTAAATGTAAGCTTTAATATGTCACATTCTCATGAGACCTACATGTATCTCTGGAAACACTAATGTTTCACATACCTGGAAACTCACAAACTTGGTTTAGGATATGAATCATTTAGTTGTTATTTAGGGAAAATTAAAGAGAAAGGGGCTCTAAGTTGCCTCGAATTAGGGGGTGCTTGTTATGGAGAAAGGAAAAGTATGCACAATATTACAAGGGAAAAGGACAGTTATTGGAAAAGAAAAGGTGCTTGTGTTAAAGTAAAGAAATAAATAAACTGTACATGTACATGTATGTACTTGTACATGGCTGTATTGCTTCCAACCACAAGACAGGAAATACAGTACATATCTCCTGCTTAAAATAGACCTTTAGAAACTGACTCTTTGTGCCCAGTCTGAACAGTAGTATTTGTTTCAGATGTTCAGGTAGCAGGGCTTCACATGTTTCTAGCACATGAACACTTCCCTCACTATTTACAATTTGACAAATACATGTACAGTAGATACAAAGAATATAAATTAATAGACGAATGTACGTAAACAAATAAATAAATAAATGAATGAATAATGATAAATGAATTAGAAATATTAAAGTAAGTAGATGGATAGATACAGTAAGTAAAAAAATAAATTTAAAATACAATAAAGAAATGAATAAGTAGCTCTTTGCAGGATCTTGTAAACAAAACATTGTAAACAAAAAATGGCCGAAAGAATGGGATAAAATGTGATAAAAATAAGGATAGGTGAGTAACTGGTGTCAATTAGCTCAGTCGGTAGAGCAGTGGTCTTGTAATCCGGTGACCCGGGTTCGAAGCCAAGTCGATGCGCTAGTGCCCTTTGGTAAGGCATTAATCTTCATTACCAGGTCCCTCTGAGAGGACCTACAAAAGCCGTCGGCCGTCTGGTTGCTTACTTACAAGCATTTATGCTTGCTTAGCAGTCAGGTAAAAAAAAAAAAAAAAAAACAATTACAGATAGTTAAAGATTAAATAATTGTTTCACTTTTACCTGAATTCATACTATATGTACACTTGTAATATTTGCATGTACATGTACATTACATGTGGATGTTATGTAGAAAGAAGATCCTAGATTTGGGCAGTCAGAATCTAGCCTGGACAAAAGCCAGACGTTAGCAGCCCTGTTTTATAAAACTTAATAAAAAATTAATAACAAATGCTAAATTTCTGTGACAAATTTGCTCTCGACCAATCAAATGCCATGATTTCAGTAGCTTATAACAGTTACTGTAACTTTTCATTAATAACAAGTTCTATGTAATGGGGCCCTAGCTGTAACATTTGCATACCTGGGTGGTGTTTCACAAAGACTAAGAGTGACTTTAAGTTGGACTTAACTATGGCAGACCGTTCATGCCACTGGTTGCTTTCACTATTGGTCTCTCAATTATAATCTTTAGATAATACTTTTTCCTTCAATAATGACCTACACTGTATCAAAAAAATGTACATTCTGTAGATTTGTGACCATGATTTTTACATGTACGTGTACCTCCCTTCAGAGACCAATGCCAGTAAATGGTGAGAGCAAACGGTGGCATGAACAGCCTGCCATAGTTAAGTCCAACTTAAAGTCGATCTTACAGGTAGTCTTTGTGAAACACCATCCTGTATGTACTTGTTGATGTTATGTAGAAAGAAGAATGTAGATTTGGGATGTGAGAATCTACTGTACCTGGACAGGAGCCAGACTCGCTAGTGTGAAAGCAGTGTACGGGAAATCTCAAATTTATGTTTCCTGTTTGGAATCCAGAAAGGAGACACTTTGACATTTGTATACTGTCACTGCAGTAGTATACATTGTACATGTAATATCTACACACACAATCCAATGGAAAGAACTTCTTTAAAGACACTCAATTTATATAAAACCCTGTATTGAAACCAAGTTTGCACACACCTTTACAGATGAGATGTGATGAAACCATTTTTAATTCTTTCATTGTTTATTATGAAAATACAAAACAATATTTTTGCCAATATATTGCCACCAAGTTTACAAAACACATTTTGCAGGTGGGATTTTATGAAACCGTAAACAAAATTCTGTCATTGTTTAACAGTATTCTATTAAGCGTGTTGAGATGGAAAGAGATATATCTGATGCACTATTAAATATCAAAAAGTTGTTTTCAATTAATAAACCTAAATTATTTCATGAGTACAAATAGGCTTTCTTGAATTAGTAGGATTCTTTTCTTTTTTCTGGATACCATGTCCTACAACGAGAAGCAGGACCACATAGAAACATGAAATATTAATCTTTCAGTTTGCTGATGTCTATAACCCCCCCCCCCCCCCAACTCCTTTTTTTTTCAGGGAGCATCCGCAATCTAGCCATGGAGAAGGTAGCCCAGACCGTCATGTTCCCGTGCCGATACGCATTGTCTGGCTGCGTGGCTACCATGTCCTACAACGAGAAGCAGGAACTCAAAAAAACATGAAATATGAATCTTTCAGTTTGCTGATGTCCATAACCCCTTCGTTTATTTTTCGTTTTTAGGGAGCATCCGCAATCTAGCCATGGAGAAGGTAGCCCAGACCGTTATGTTCCCGTGCCGATACGCATCGTCTGGCTGCGTGGCTACCATGTCCTACAACGAGAAGCAGGACCATGAAGAAACGTGCGAGTTTCGTCCTTATTCCTGTCCGTGCCCGGGGGCGTCCTGTAAATGGCAAGGCTCCCTGGACCAAGTCATGCCTCATCTCACGCATGCGCACAAGAGCATCACCACGTTACAAGGTAAACAGACAGGAGTTTTGAGATGGGGGGATTCCATACGATGTGTCCCCAATGACATATCTATTCTTTTCATCCATTTATTTTATCCCTTGAGAAAGAAATGTGTGTTTTTAAACCTGTCTAGAAAGGCTATTTGTCTACAGTGGCATCTTTCTCTGTTTCCCTTGAGTAATAATTAATTATGCAGAAGAGGATTTAAACTTACAAGACATAGTATACAAAAGTTTAGACAAAACAGTCCTTGATAAATAAAGAAATAGGGCAGTCCATCTATTACATTCCTTGATTAAGTCAGGCCTCAAAGAGCATCACTACGTTAAAAAGGTAATTAGACAAACAATATTCATAAATACATGTACATGTATATGTAGATCAAGAAAATCATGAAGAGTGATTCCAGTACTGTTCAACATTTGACCATCTTTATAGGTGATCTACTTAAAGCCCCACTGTCCTACTTGTAGCTACTTGCTCCCTCTATATAGAAAATTTCCCCAATCGGTGCCTGTTGGTCCCCCATGATCCTCTTTTTCTTATGTTAGTTGAGAGCTGAGTTAATGAGATAGCCACCTGTCAGTGACCTCGCTGTTTGGTCTAATCCCTTCTGGCCCAGTAGTGTTGACGGTCTTTAAAAGGAGGGGGTGGGGCAGAAAAACAGTTCTGTTTATGATGCAGGGCTGTTACGGCCATCACTTAATGCTAGTCTTAGGAATCAGTGAATTAACTTCTTTATTCTTTGGTCTATTCAGGTGAAGATATAGTATTCCTAGCTACGGACATCAATCTCCCTGGTGCCGTAGACTGGGTTATGATGCAGAGCTGCTTTGGCCATCACTTTATGCTGGTCTTGGAGAAGCAGGAGAAGTATGACGGACTGCAACAGTTCTTCGCTATCGTCCAACTAATTGGATCAAGAAAACAAGCAGAAAATTTTGCTTATAGGTAGGTGAAGGGTATCGTCTGCCGAGAACCAGGGCCCCTGTTTCATAAAACTTGTTATCAGTAACAAATGCTAAATTCTGATGACAAATTCGCTCTCAGCCAATCAGATGCCATAGTTTCAGTAGCTTATAACAGGTTATTGTTACTTTTTATTGATAACAAGTTTCATGAAACAGGGTCCAGAAGGGAGTTGTGACATACATGTATATATTTTATGTTTGGAGTGAAAAGGGCATTAGTATACTTTAACACAGGGTTAGCCCCTTCTGGCTCCAAACATACAATATTTTGCAACTGATATATTGCCTTTCTTTCTCTCAACATATAATATATCTGCTCCATATTTCTCACGTTTCAAGTCATAAATGATTTCCTTTGATAAACTGTTTCTTTATTCAAATGTTAAGTACCCCACGCCCCCACCCCAATTGGGAACAACATTCATTATAGGGCAATTCCTACCATATCTCCCAATTCTCAATGTTATTTTATATCAAGTTTCGAGTCAAAAACAATTTCCTTACTATGCTTCGTGGTATTCTTGTTAAAATGCTTTTCCACCTATCCATTTCTGGAACTCAACTTCAGCTTTATATTAATTTTCATCCTTGAGCAAGGCATTTAATCTTCAATGCTCCTCTCCACCCAGGTGTTTAAATGGGTACCTGGTTGGATGCAAACGTCATTATGGTTGGATTAGCATGCATGGTTCCATAAGGGTGTGACCAGCTGGAATGGTCCCCTGGGAGTGGAGAATGTTTACTGTAATGTGCACAGTGCAGAATAGTAATTGAATCTCATGACCGGGGGTTATACTAATACTGTAAACACGTTGGTCAGTTAATGGTAAACCACTTTATATTAAAGCCCCACTGCACTACTTATAGCTACTTGCGCCCTCTATATAGCAAACAATGCCTAATCGCACCCCATGATCCCCTTTTTCGTATGTGAATTGAGAGCTGATTTGATGAGATAACCACCTATAAGTGACCTTGGTGGGAGGTCTAATCCCCCTTGCCAAATTAGTGCAGGAAGGCTTTGATGGTAAAGCACTTTATAAGAAATGGGTATTATAGAAATTAATAGTATTATAGTAATATTTCTTTGAAAGTTCTTGTATCACATCCAAACCATTACTACAACCATCCTGATGAAACTTTTTCATACGGTATTGATATTATCAATTATTATTCTAGGAGTATTTGTAACAAGATTAGCAACCTTCTCTTCCTCTCACAGGTTAGAACTGAACGGCCACCGGAGACGGTTGTCATGGGAAGCCACGCCCCGCTCCATCCATGAAGGCGTCCAGGCCGCCATCATGAACAGCGATTGTCTCGTCTTTGACTCCAGTATCGCTCAACTCTTTGCGGAGAACGGTAACCTTGGCATTAACGTCACGATATCAATGTGCTGAAAGCGGCTACAAATATTAAAGTGCAATCTTGTGTCATGTTTTTGTAATTTTTTTTTGTAGGTTTGATAATTTTTTGTTTGTTGATTAGGGTGCTACATATAATTATTGGGCTAGCTAGTACTTGGAAGGGGTTTAGCTATGTTGATTCCATGTATGCTGAGGTTTAGGGCCAGCAGAATTTGGAAAGACTTTGTACGCAGGGGGCTGTGATTTGTTGAATGGACAATGACATTAGAATGATGTCTCTCTCTCTCTCTCTCTCTCTCTCTCTCTCTCTCTCTTCTCTCTCTCTCTCTCTTTCTCTCTCTCTCTCTTTCTCTTTCTCTTTCTCTCTTTCTCTCTCCTCTCACTTTTGCTCCATCTCGCCTATCTCTTTTCTCTGCCCCTCTCTATTTCTCTTTTCTCTCTTTCCATCTGCCTTCTAACCATTTCCAACAAACTCATTTCTTGTTCTGCTCGTTCACTATGCTCATTTTCTTCACTTGTCACTCTCTCTCTCTCTCTCTGTCTATCTCTATCTCTCTCTCTCTCGCTCTCTGTCTATCCCTCTCTCTCTCTCTCTCTCTCTCTATCCCTCTCTCTCTCTCTGTCTATCCCTATCTCTATCTCTCTCTCTCTGTCTATCCTCTCTCTCTCTCTCTCTCTCTCTCTCTCTCTCTCTCTCTGTCTATCCCTCTCCCTATCTTTCTCTCTCCCTCCCTCTATCCTCTCCCTTCATCTCTTTTCTTATTTATTTAAACCTAGTTACAATGATGCACTCCAAGGTATAAGAGTGCTTTGAAGGTACTTCAATCATCTTTGAACACTGCACCCTTTGAAAGAATTATATACTTTCAACATTATTGCCAGTGCTTTGAAGGTACTTTGATGGGAATGAAATATGTAGATAAATAAGAGCAAGTTCTATTGCTTCCTTTTTTCCTAATGGGTTCCTCCGAAGTAACCCAGAAAATACACAGCAACCCTCAAACAAAATAAGGTAGTTTATGAACTCTGACATACAATTGCGAATAGTATATTGCATGATAAATTACTGTTATACTTTAAGGAGATATACACATGCGTGGCATTAAAACACTAATATACATGTATCTTTTTCCTTTAAAGTCGTAAGCTACCTTTGAAATGATTATATATGTAGCACCCTATATCCATAATTTCGTCTTTAAACTCATGGCAGACATTCTGCCCTATTTTGGCAAAGCCAATGGCAAAAGACTACAATAACAAAGGCATTTCCATTGAGTGTTGTATTCTCATGGAATGTCTTGGGATATTCCAGTCAGCTTTGAATTCATGAGAATTCTGAATGACTGCAAGTGATTCTCATCCTGTTAAAGCCTACCTGCACTAGCTTGGCCAGGAGGGATTACACCTCCCTGCTTGGTCACTGATGGGTGGTTATCTCATCAAATCATCCCTCAATTAACATAAGTAAATGAGGACCATGGGGACCAATTGTCACCGCTTAGGCATTGTTTGCTATTTAGAGGGTGCAAGTAGCTATAAGTAGTGCAGTGGGGCTTTAAAAGGATGCAATAAAAAGGCATTTCTATCCAGTGATGCATTCCTATGGAGTGTTACGGAATGTTATGGGATATTCCGGTCAACATTGAATTTGTAAAAATTCTGGATAACTGCAAGCGATAATTCTACCAAAATTCTCGCAATGTTATGACCTATTGCAAATGATTCCTGCGGAGTGTTTCACAAAGACTAAGATCGACTGTAAGTTAGACTTAACTATGGCAGGCCATTTATGCCACTGGTTGCTCTCACCATTGGTCTCTCAATTGTGATCTTTAGATAGTAATTGTCCTTCCGTAATGAAGGTAAATTCTGAAGATTTGTGACAATACTTTGAACGTCCCTTGAGAAACCAATACCAGGAATAGTTACAGGGACTAGTGGCATGAACGGCCTGCCATTGTTAATTCCAACTTAAAGTCTATCTTAGTCTTTTGAAAATTTCCCCAGATGTGGTTTGCCAGACTAGGGCAGAAATAAAAACCATCAAAATTATTTTGAAGAACAATCTGATTCTCTAGGCATATTCTTATATGCAAACTAGGATTATCAAATACTTCACCTATCAAACTTCTGTACAAATACATTTTTTTGAATGAATACTGGGAACGGGAATCCTAGTCCACAGTATTCACATAACTAGGTAAATAAATGTACATGTAAGCAATTGAAGTTTGATGTTTACATTATTGAACTGTGTTGATGATAATTATGCATTGCCTAATTTTTATAGGCAGTATACTGTACCTGTATATGTAGTTCTTGTTTGTTTTTACACTGTATATGTGACCTCCTATGGCAAAACCTGACACTTAATGGTAGAATTGAAAATAAAGTTCTTGGTATCACTAGAAAGAGTAAGAAATTACCTTTAATATGATTCCTCATTCAAAGGAATTGATTAAAGTTTGACAAAGTTATTGCTCTATTCATGATTTTAACTATTGAATGTTAGTTATTAGAGTTTGAAGTTGAGCATTCGGTTCCATTTTCACACCAAAAACATGCACACATTCACTGCATATTTACTTGGGACCGCCATATTTCAAATGTTCATGCTTTTCTTTTTTTATCGGTACCAAATGTGTCAGGGATCAACTAATAACTGGAAAATTAAAAAGGGAAAACGGCAAGTGATATATATCCAGAAATTTTCATTATCTTGACCACATTATTCAAACTAATTTAGCTCGACAAGTGGATGCATTCGTATTTTCAAAAAGATAATTAAATATATTTCAAGAACGTCTTTCAAAGCCCGTCTGCACTAGTTTGGCCAGGGGGGATTAGACCACCCTGCAAGGTAACTGACAGGTAGTTATCTCATCAAATCAGCTCTCAACATGAGAAAAAGAGGATCATGGGGGACCAACAGGCACCGATTAGGCATTGTTTGCTATATAGAGGGCGCAAGTAGCTATAAGTAGTGCAGTTGGGCTTTGACTTCATTTCATCTTCAAAACCATTTTGATCAAACGTACTATCCGACCATTAACAAAATCTTATGTTGGTCCCTGAGGTCAAAATGTATGTGTTTGCAGGCTCCTACTGGACAATGAGATTTGCTGAGAAGCGTCAGGTTTTGCTGTAGCGGGTCACATGTGTGTGCTTTAGCCACTTATTTTGTAGAGTTGAAAGGACTCGACTCACTTTTGTTTCCTTTTGAGCATTAGGGCATTGTTTATCCTATATATTTGTGTATACCCACCACTCGCGCACTCAGAGTATGCAATAGGACGTTACTCACATTTTGAAATTTCATTTTCTTCGAAATTGACAAGCTGTCATTTAGGCTATGAAAGTTTGATAATGGATTCATGCTACTTTTCAAGTTAATTCTATTTGCTGATACAAGAAAAAGTACGCTAACAGCCTTGGTGCTTTGTCCAGCATGGTCTTCATCTATCCTGCACTTAATCAGGCAAGAACTGAAATAGGTTCCTCTTTTTCCAGTCTGAGAAAGGTCAAGGATTTTGAGAAAAAAATCACTGATTTCACAGAAAAATCAAGGAATTTCATCATTCCCCAAAGAAAGGAGTCAGTCTCTTGTCTTGTTCTTGACGATTGTTATTCAAAAAATGATCCTGGAATTTTGAAATTATGTACATCAGGGGGAAAAAATTCAAAGGTCAATGCACTGTGGCAGCCTAGAGTTTTTTTATCCAAAAGTTACAAGATAACAAAGCTTTATTGAAAGTGGCTATATTTATATAAACCTGATATGATACATTCCCAAACATGAGATTTAGGAGAGCTTTAACTTCTATTTGTCTTTATGGACCTGAATAAAAAATATCATCAAAACTTACAACAGTCAACCTTTCTTAGAGACCAAGGGAACTGGGAAAACAGGCTACTGTAAAAAGGTGGTCTTTCTATACAGGCTCTATACAACGCAGTATAGAGAGGTGGCCTTTATAAAGAGGTGGCCGGTTTGACAGGTTAAGCTGTAACTTTATACATTTAGTATTCCTAGTTTTGTTGGAGAATTGCGGTTTAAATCATAGCATATTACTGTCAAACTTATATCCGTCGCAACCTGCCATTGTCAAGGATCGTTTATGATTGCAGGTTTCTTGGCGAGATATTATTTGCGACTTACAAAAGTTATTCATTCACTTTTCTATTTGATGATTCCTTGTAAGTAGATAAGCGGTATCTTTGTAGAGTTTGTTTTGGGTTGCATTACAAATATCTTTTCATTTTTCTTTCTTTTCTTTATCTTTTTGAGTGCTTGAATGTTGAACAGGAATCAATTATGATCCGGCAGCTCAGGATAAGTGTGGATGTGTAGCATAATTTCTTTATTTTCTGCGTTCTTGTAATGCTGTATTGTATTAAAGCCTGTCTGCACTAGTTTTGCTAGGGGGGATTAGACCATCCTGCAAGGTCGCTGACAGGTGGTTATCTCATCACATCAGCTCTCAATTAACATAAGAAAAAGGGGATCATGGGGGACCAACAGGCACCGATTACGCATTGTTTGCTATATAGAGGGTGGAAGTAGCTATAAGTAGTGCAGTGGGGCTTTAAAATTTGCAAAATCTCTTTGCGAGCACGTACAGGTGCATCAAAAAGCCTACTCAAAACTTGCTTTTTTTAAATTGAGAGTGTATCTAAGCTCGTATATTGAATCAAGTATTACGTCATGGAACTACTAACTTACAGAACAAGACATATGTTGGGGATAGGTACACTTTAAGCCAGTCAGCATGTTTCTACCTGATTTCAAATGCGTTTCATTTCCAGACCTTTCTAAGCTGTTCCATGTACGCCCTTGTGTAGAAAAGCACCGTAATCAGATTTGAATGCATACAGAATAGCGCACCTTTCTTCTGAGGTAGATTTGCACATTATGCACGCCTTCTCAGTTCTGTGGAAATTTTCCTGGTTTTTAGCATCATCCAGTAGGCTGTATGAACACGCTAAAGTCGTGTGAACCTGCTAAAGTTGGCTAAAGTCTGTTAGCTGCACTACTCGGCCTGTAGAAGCAGATGGGTTAAATTCCAATAGGGGTCCATTCCCAAGTCTTATTCCAGGGGGGTGTTTCACAAAGATCTTAAGTCAAACTTATCTCTAAGTTGGACTTAAAAATCATGGAAAGCCATTAGCATCTTTGAAAATATTTTGTTAAAGTTATTTTAAAAGGCATAAAATGTTCAATTCAAATCATTCTTACTTTCATATATCAAGGAGATTTCATGTTCTTTATGTGGAATTTATGAAAAGTCTGAAATACTTGAATTTTCGCTTTTGAATATATACTATTTTAAGGCTACAAATGGCTCTCCATAATTTCAAAGTCCAACTTAGTGTTAAGTTCAACTTAGGATCTTTGTGAAACACCCCCCTGGTTGACTATTCTAGGAGTAAGGAAAACAAGTTGCGAGCATTCTATCTCATTAATTGTAGGTACATGTTTCATTGTATAACTATCCCTCTGCTTAAACAATGCAAACGCGCATGGATGCCAACTTATCTATGACCGTAAGTTCTCT